GTGGGATCTTCAAACCAAGAGACGTGGCATGTTCTATTGCCCTTTTCACGGAAAGGATAGTGGCCATAATTTGGTGCTCCTCAAATGAGGGTCATGTGTGTTGGATTCTAAAAGGACTTTAAAAGAAAACCTGCCACCTGAACAGCTGAACAGGTCCCTAATTTTGAGATTCACGATGTAAGCTTAGGGTTTAGGATTTACTTGCATGTCTGGAGGCGTTTTTTTTGTTCTCTTTTTTCTAGAGTCTGGCACCGGTACTCTCCACTCTCCATGACGTGGGAGGAAGAGTGGGGAAGCGCTGGCATGCTATTTAGACCTGCATCCTGTTGCGGCGAAGAAGTCAACATGGGGCGAGTAAATGGTCCAAACCAAGGCTATTTGCTTGTTACACCCTGGAATTACAAGGTCACACCGCCGTTTGTAACTGTTGCGCTCCATGAGGACTCTGCGCTTCCACTGGGTTCCAAATCGTGAAATGTGTTCCATTGTTCCGTAAAATGAGGGATTTCCTATGTTGCCCGATTGGAGGACGTTTGGCTTGGTTTCCTGTCAGCGACATTGTTTGAAGCCGCACCGCCTGGCGAGGCTGCGTTTTGGGTTCTGACTTCTACACAATGTTGACACTGCGTTGTGGGAGAATTTCTTGCAATCATTATTGACAAACAGCTCATCACAGACGCCCCCAATGCCCCAGACGTTGAAGCGGATGCAACTAGTCCACTTGAATCCAAATGGCGAGCGTAGTGCGCGTCTTCAACCCAGCAAACTCGCCATGCAGCTGCATGCGCGTGTGCACCTGTGGTATGTGTTCGCACTTGTGCGGCAAGTGCCAGAATCGCCAAAACATCGCCACATGGTCGCATGTTGTCCACATCACCCCGGTAATCAGATTCAGGTTCCCCTGAGTTGGAAAAAACGAGGGAAACTGAGTTGCCAGTGATTCGACCTGAGGCAACCCTTCAGAAACCAATGGAAGGGGGCTCTAGTAAGCAGATTCCTTGGGGAAGCTGACAGATACTCCCAGGGTCTACTTGGCCACGGGTCAAAAGCCCGTACCCCCAGTGAACATCCGAATCCCCACTAAAATAGACTAAAATGGGTTGTGCACCTACCCCAAAATGGGATCCCATTAGTTTTGACCCACAGCCAGTTGACCACTGGCACCGAGGCGGTCCTTTACTACAGCCTGGTGTGGCGGAGCCAAAGGCGCGGAGCGCGGAGCCATTCCCTGAATGAAACCTGGGTGGCTGGTCCTTTTTTTGGTGTGACCCTCAAACTTGGAAACCGGTTTCCATGTTGGTTTCCATTTGCAAGCTACCAACAAGAGGTACCCTCAAAAAACCGCTTGTCATTGAACCCAGGCCTGTCCTCAAGCCAACACTGATACCAACACAAAATCGCAAACTTCACCTGAACCCATGCCAAGCCGACCTTAGATCAAATCTAGATACCCCTTAGTTCAACCATCAAATCCCTAAACTCAACCCTAGTCCCAAAACGCAATTCCAAAGCAATGAAACCAAACCTAAACCTACCCTTTACCAGCCCAAACCTCGCCATAAACCAGCCATCACCCCACATCGAGCCCCAATTTCCACCGTAGATCCAACTTTGCACATAGGGTCAAGTGATGTGGCAAACCGTTGGGGAATCCTCGGGATGAAATCTGCTCGTCTGAGCCAGTAATTGTATTTTTTTTCGCTTTGCCCACCTCGGCCAGTCCGCTTTTGGCTGGCCTTGAGGTATAACCGTGCTTTGGCTTGCCTTGAAGCCTGTTTATTAGAGTGGGTGAGTCGGCGCCGAAATGCATGAGCTGTTTTCCAAGCTAGAGGGTGGGTGCATGTCCGCGTGTTTCCACATGGTGCTTCAAATGCAGAGAGCTACAGAATGGCAGCGGGCTTGGGCTAAGCGAAGGTGCAAACTCTAGGGAATTTGATTGGTTTCTGAAGGGGAACTTTGCCGTTTTCTGGGGGGATTTGACCGGAGTTGGACCTGTTTTTCGAGGGGGTTCGATTGGTCTCTGGAGGGAGTTTGACCGGCTTTCAGGGGATAGAAACCAGTCAAATTTTGACTGGTTTCTATCGCTACTGCCGGCCAAATTCATCCAGAAAAGCCAACATGTGCCAACAGTGCCAGCCTTGTTTCGTTTTGCGTGGACTCCATGGCTCCATAAGCAAAATCATCTCACGTGGTCCGAGCCGGCGTCCATCAAAATCAGAAGCAGGAAGTAATGTGTGCGTACTCTGCCAGCAGAAAGGCCACAGATCTAGCAAAGTACTCTGCTAGCGTAAAGAGGCCCCTGTTCGAGCACAGTACTCTGTTAGCATAGAAGGCCCCTGATCTAGCACAGTACTCTGCTACCATAAAGGCCCCTGCTAGCGCAAGGGCCCCTGATCGAGCAAGGCACTCTGCTAGCACAGAGGCCCCTGATCTAGCAAAGTATTCTTCTAGGATAAAGGCCCTTGATCTAGAACAGCACTCTGCTAGCACACAAGCCTGCGATCTGCAAAGTACTCTGCCAGCATAAAAGCCCTGATCTAGCAAGCATAAAGGCCCCTGATCTAGCAAAGCTGTTTTTGCATAAAGGCCCCTGATCGGCCCCTGATCTAGGAATGTCGTCAGCTGGCATGAACTCTGCTAAGCATAAAGGTTCCTGATGGCAAAGTACTAGGCTAGCATTCTGGTCCCTGCTTGCAAAGTACTCTGCCAGCAGAAAGGCCCCAGCTAGCGAAGTACTCTGCCAGCGTTGAAAAGCCCCTGCTCGAGCAAAGTACTCTGCTAGCATGAAAGTCCCTGACGTAGGAAAATACTCTGCTGGCATAAACGCCCTGATCTTGCAAACTGCTCTGCTAGCATAAATGCCCTCTGATCTTGCAAAGTACCTAGCATCAAGGCCCTTGTTCAAGCACTTCACTCTGCTACCATAAAGGCCCCTGATCTAGCAAAGTACTCTGCCAGCATAAAAGCACTGATCTTGCAAACTTCTCTGATAGCATAAAGGCCCCTGATCTAGCAAAGTACTTTGCTAGCATAGAGGCCTCTGATCTTGCAAAGTACTCTGCTAGCATCAAGGCCCTTGTTCTAGCACTTTACTCTGCTACCATAAAGGCCCCTGATCTAGCAAAGTTCTCTTCTAGCGTAAAGGCCCTCGATCTAGCAAAGGACTCTTCTAGCACACATGCCCCTGATCTAGCAAAGTACTCTGCTAGCATAGAGGCGCCCCCCTTGTGAGAATGGCCCCACTGTAAAAGGCAAGCCATGCGCTGGCTTGTCCAAGCGCGGCCGAGATCCGGTGGATCCGACCAAGGCCTTAAATACTGAGGTCTCGGAGGTCTAGGGTGGCCTGTGGTGATGTCTGGGTTGGTGTCTGTGATTTGCCTGGTTCAACTCCAGATTCTTGTCGTGATGACCACGCAACTGGGCGGAATGTGACCGGTTTTTTCTCGGGGAATTTGCCCTGTTTTGACCGGAGTTGGACCGGCTTTGAGTGGGGAAATTTGACCGGCTCTTGGCAGAACGCAGCTGGATTGGAGGTAGTTGGCGCAAGGATTTTGGCCACGCGACATGGGGTGCGGGGCGGGTTGGAGATGGGGCTCTAGCAGTTGTTAGGGTCTTCTCTCACTTTCACATTCGCGCAATTGCCTAGATACGCTTGGTTTTTGCGTTTTGGTCCAGTTGTTGCATTTCGCCGACCTTTTGACCTCCAGTCTTGTGGCAAGATTCGCCTTTTCGTTTCTTAGCCCCAGTGCCATTTTTCCTTTCTGAAAGGGGGAACACTTGAAAATGGATCTCGCTTTCCCTTTGGTTGAGGTCTCGGCATTGGTGTGAATCTTTGACTCAGGGCGGAGCGAACTGCCAAGCAAGCTGCCAAGAAGGAGGAGTGACGCGATGGAAGCGAAAAGCGCGTGCCGCGTCGCCGGAAGTATTGTAGGTGGCTTCGAGCCTGGGGATAAAGAGTGGGAGGATCAAACAAAAAGTAAATGTGATTGTTTTAACCCCAAGGGTTGGCGACAGGAAGTTTCGCACAGGAGATCATTTGCAAAGATGAGTTCTTCCTTTGGGCGTCTGGTTTTCATTTGTTCCCTTGTTGGTCCGTCTTGAATGAGAATCCCATAAAGGTGATCGTTTTTCGTAGTCGAGATGCTCGTTATACCATGGCGTGGCGATGCAGAATTTGTGCTTGCATCCTGGATTCCCTGCCTGTGCTGGGAATGGTGCAAGCCAAAATGTTGGATGAGTGATTTGCAAGAAAGTTTCGCACAAGTTCTGCAAAAGGCCTGCGAACACCCATGGAGTTTCTTGCAACAAGGTTCCCCAGTAGTGCCCTTTTACCCATTTTTGGGGGAGGGTTCCCCTACCAAAACAGACTACTGAAAAAAGGGTACCCTTATTCTAACCTCTCTACTGGAGGACCTAGGCAACGTTCAGGCCGGAGCAGTCCCAGCATTTGCAAGTGGCACCATGGCTTCAGAGCGCACGTAAACAATGGGCTTTGCGAAAGAGTTTATGTTGGCCCCACTGTCATGCTCTTTGTATTAGAATGCATGTAGGGGGGGGGGGGGGGGGTAGCAAGCCCACCGTCTAATCACACCTTCTGTGCCATCAACCAGAGATGCGGGTGCCCCCAGGCGGTGGAGCATGTGATTTGGAATTTTGTTTGAACAGGGCACAAGCAAATGACGTTTATGTTCGTAGTGACTCTTGTGCCGTTGAGCGCCATCCAGAATCCAGTGTACACCGAATCCGTGTTTCAATGTGTTCTGCCAGAACATGCCATCCTTGCCTCCGGCTCAAATGCAAGGAGGCCGCATGAGCAGGCGGAACAACCTTTTCGGGATAGGTCATCCTGCGCGCCGTTCCATCGCTTGATATTCCACCCGAGGAGACACGAGAAGACAAACACTATGCAGGTAATGATCGAGCAGCATCTTAGGCCTGAAAATTACATATGAATGCATAGTTGTTCAACAGTGGAACAAAACCTGAAAACACCAAAACCATCGGAAATTCACCGCAGAAGTTCCATAGCTGCTCCACAAGTGCCATGCCCATTACCGACGGGTGTCTCAGCGAAAATCTGGCATGGCGGCTCCACACCCATTGGCTGACAGGGCATTTGCTTGATACTCGGTGCCCAGTCAATGCCCTTCGAGCGGTGTTAAAAATGTTTGTTGGGCCAGTTTGAACAATGAGCTCTTTTGGTGGGGTGATGTTGAAGGGGGACATGTACGGACTTGTGCTGATAAGGCCAAATAAGGCGAAGCAAGACCAAGTGCCAAAGCGTAGGGCTTTTTGTTTGGGGAGGCCCACATGCATCTCACATTCGGCCAGCAAATCGAGGACGCCAACTGCATCTTGAGGCATGTCCTCCAATTCTGCCTGCAAGAGTTGTCAAACCCCGCTGGTCACTGGGGATTGGGGGCCCCTTCCAGTTTTTATGGTTTCATTGACAGGTCCGCGAAAGGTTTTGCACCTGGGTGTGTTGTTAATGTAACCCCTATTGGGTGTCTTAAGGAAACCTGCAGGAAACCAAGCATTTTGGGGGGTTCATTTCAGATCCCATTCTGAAACAAGCCTACACATCTATACTTGGGAATCGAAGGTTTCCGACGAAGCAATGGAGTTTTCGTGTGTTTCTTCTGTTTGGATACGACTGCGTCACGTTGAAATCGTTTGAGAAACCACTCACAGTTTAGTCTTTGGATCATTTTTGAAAAGCAGGCACTGTGGTTTTGTGTAGAATGTTCGGGGTGCTAGAATGGTGTATGTGAACTGGTTGTGGACACAAATTTTACCTTGGGTGTGCCAAAATAACCCAGGGCAATATGGGGTTGCTTGAGGCAAACCCACTTTGGGGGTTGTTTCTACTCAGTTTCAAACCAATTTTGCGATTCCCCGTTCTTTTCCCCATGCCTTTGAGAAGCCGCTTGTTTTGGGGGGTTCAGGGCCGTTTTCTGAAGCCAAAAACCCCGAGAAAGAATGCGCACAGCTAGAAGGTCCGGTTCCTGTGTGTTTTCTTCCCTGCAACAACAAACATGTTGACCCTGGATGAATGAGCCCGTCCTTTTAAAGGGGGGGGGGTACCCTCCAAAAGCGGTCTGAATTCTAAAAGGGACAACCAGGGGGTTAATCCGGGGTCAATATTAGTAGAAGCCTGGCTTTCGTTGTTTCCCTTGCTGTGGCATGCTGTGACCTGAAGGCAGTTCGGTGGTCCCCCAGCAAGAGGCAGGGGCGATTTGGGGGGATGATTCGGGACGACACCGGCGACTGGGTTGGAGTTGAACTGAATGGAAAAGTGGCCGGCCTTCGTTTGTGTTTTTCTGCCAGTACCGAAGTGTTTGCAGATAAAGTTGTTTCTGGCACACTTCCCACCTCTGAGAAAAGCTCACTGCATCGAACGCCGATCTTGTTTGATATCAGTGTAGATGGTAAATACATTTAGGGCCAAAGCTGAGGTGGTTGTGGGTCCGTGACAGGTTCGACCAATCACCTGTTTTTTCCTCTCTTTTTTCTCGAAACCCTCGATGAATGTTCCAAGCTGCGCAGTCCAGGGGCGATCCTGAGATCTGTTTGGGTTTATTGGGTGTGTTATGTTTAGAGGGACCCCGCAAAATGGTGAGGTTGCTTCTTTTGGCTTCTCTGCAAGACCACCAAAACAATGGGAACTCTCAAAAAACAGAAAATTCCAGGGTTCTCAGAACAGGGGCCGAGCGCTTCGCCAGTTTTGGTTTCCATTGCCTTTTGAAGGTCGGGGCCATGAGTTTGATCGCCTAAGACCCCAAGTTGCAATTTTCGGTAGCTTGGTTGCATGGCTTATAGTTCCTGTAACCTTTGCAACCATGTAGAGCCAAATGAGACTTGGGCGCTGATCAAGTGTGGGAGTGTGGACGAATGTCAGCACAGCTTTTGTATGCCGCAGGTTTCAAGACACACCGGCGCTGGCATTTCTTGCAAACTTGGCCTTTTCATGAAGAAGGAGGCCAACTTGCCGGCCCTGTGTTTCTTCCCGTTCAACTTATAGGATGAAGGAAGAACAAAGCGCTTGGACGGAGAAAAATACCAGGGCAGAGGCCGGCATCCACAAATTCTGACCTTGAACGGCACAGGATGTTCTTTCTTCTGCAATTGCTAGAGCACGACAAGTGTCTTTGCTTGGCCATCCGGCCTCGGACTTCAGTGCGAGTGCGGCGGAGGCAAAGACTTTACTCCATCCACCACCTGCAGCATGAGCTCCGGTGTCTTGGCGCAGAAGCTGAAGGCCATACTGATGGACGAAATCCTCCAGTTGCTATGTGGTTCGTCCCAGTCACAGGGGTGGCGCAGGATTTGGGCCATCCACAGCTTTGGGCAAGTGGTTTTACGAGCTCACCAATCGGGGATAAAACCAGCGATTTAGCCCAATCAAGGTCCCTGGAATTCATACTTGGGTTCCTTATTTCCGGGTGTGAATTACAGCATGTTTTCCAGATCTGCGTGTCTCAAAACTGGGCGGCAAGATCTGTGTGTCTCAAAACTCGGCAGCATGTTGAGGGTGGCTGTTCTTCAAAGACGTAATCTGAAATGCACAGGGGCAAGTTTCCATTGGGGGGTGGTTGAACGCTTCCAAGGAAACCACAGGGAGACATACATATTCGCTACAGTCTGGCTTTTGCACTGGGCCACACTGGGCCACCAAAGCTTCCCATCTTCCAGGGTGGCCACGGTTAGGCTCGGTTCGGTTCGGTTTCTGAAACCTTTTGAAAACCTTTCTCCGGTTAGTGGCGGTTACTCATAACCTTTCAAAACCTGCCGGTTTGCACGGTTAATGCAGAAAAGTAAGATAAGGCTCTAGGTAACTCAGTCTGCTTTCGCCCACACTTCGCCAACTTCCACATCTCTGGCATCGCCATCCATCTGACATCGCCATCCCACACCACACACACACAGACACAACCACACACACACACAAACACACAAGCAAACAAGCAAACAAACAAACAAGCAAACTCACAAACACAAAAACAAACAAACGAACCATGCCACTGACTGATGCTGAGCATGTTTTTCCGCGCACGTGGCCTTGAAAGCATCTCTGCAGTCAAAGCTCAAAAGCGCAAAAAACCAAGTCACTGACCGCTCATGGGTCACTTTTTTTGCTTGCCAAATTTCAGCGGTGTTTCGTGTGTTGCGCAAAAATCAGAACCAGAAGCGGCCAATAATGCGGGTTTGTTGCCTTGACGCGTGCAGCAAAGGGGCTTCAGGTGCAGTGGCCTGCTAAGCGTGCCAAAAGTTCTGGCAATCAGGCTGGTGGGGCGTTGGGGAACGGCAGGGCAGGCCCAGGGCAAGGCGGGAAGGCGCCAGGAGAGCAAGCCCTTACAGTGACAGCGGGCCGCGAGAAACTGTTCCAATCCAAGCCGGGCCGCGCAAAAAAAACAACCCACTGACCGTCAGTAAGTTGTTTTTTTTTCGCGCTGCTGGCGCAGCCAGGCTGCAACAGGGTGCTCGGGCAATCCCGTGGGAGCAGGGGGAGTTGGTGAGACAAGTAGAGGCTCGGACATGTAACTATTCTAGCAGTTCAGCAAAGTTTGCGGGTGTTGGCGATGCTCTCTGCGCCAAAGCCGAGCAGCCCAAAAAAACAAGTCACTGACCGCTCATGGGTCACTTTTTTGCTTGCCAAATTTCAGCGGTGTTTCGTGTGTTGCGAGCACTGCGGAAGCAAAAATCAGAACCAGAAGCGGCCAATAATGCGGGTTTGTTGCCTTGACGCGTGCAGCAAAGGGGCCTCAGCTGCAGTGGCCTGCTAAGCGTGCCAAAAGTTCTGGCAATCAGGCTGGTGGGGCGTTGGGGAACGGCAGGGCAGGCCCAGGGCAAGGCGGGAAGGCGCCGGGAGAGCAAGCCCTTACAGTGACAGCGGGCAACTCAGTTTTCCTCCCGTTCGGCCCGCGAGAAACTGTTCCAATCCAAGCCGGGCCGCGCAAAAAAAACAACAACCCACTGACCGTCAGTAGGTTGTTTTTGTCGCGCTGCTGGCGCAGCCAGGCTGCAACAGGGTGCTCGGGCAATCCCGCGGGAGCAGGGGGAGTTGGTGAGACAGGTATGCTCGGACGTGTAGCTATCCCGGCACTTCAATCAAAGTTTGCCGGCTCAAATACCGCTTGCTGCCGCTTTGGAACGGGATCCCGTGGCGGTGCTGTTGGCGATGCTGTCTGTGCCAAAGCCGAGCAGCCCAAAAAAACAAGTCACTGACCGCTTGTGGGCCGTTTTTTTTTGCTTGCCTAATTTTAGCGGTGTTTCGTCGCGAGCACTGCGGATGCAAAACATCAGAACCAGAAGCGGCCAATAATGCGGGTTTGTTGCTTTGACGCTTGCTGCCCCTGCAAACCTGGGGACGGTTCGGTTTCTGTTCGGTTCGGTTCGGTTCGGTTTGTGGTTTGTTTCCGGTTTTCTTGCGGTTTTGAAAACCGGTTCGGTTAACCGGTTTCCGGTTCGGTTTTCAACCTTCCTGATCTTCGCAGGGCAAGAAACACGTTCTCTTGTTGGAGAACCTGGGCATAGCGACCGACATGCGACCAGTTGAACAAAGCGAGATTCCGGCATTGCGACTGAAGGTTCCTTTCATAGTGATCCCTTGTCAACCCGTTGGTGAATTATGAACCAGCCAGAGCGCTGCAATGTCGATGCAGCTGTGCACATCACCTTGTTCGGATCTCAACAGGGGCTTGACATCATGATGAGCTTACTTGAGGTTGGAGCGGTAGATAGGATAAGGTTGGTTCATTCTGGCGGTGCTTGTTTTCCAGGCCTTTTAATCACTGTTATAAATCTAATGTGTCTTGAAATAAGTGTCAGCACTGAGCCTTTTTGGGATGAATTTATAGGTGGACCTAATGTAAACCTTTTGCGATGGTTTGAGCCCAGTAGGTGTTGTCGAAATTGGGTGCTTGCATTGAAACAGAAACAAGCAAGGTTCGTTCAAATAGGGAAAAACAAGGCGCTTGTGTTAATGTATAAAGCCCAAAGGGTTTGTTCAACAAAGATCCGAGGGCCATGCCCAAGAGAGGCATGGCACGTTTTTGTCTTCGGCCGGATGGCCCAGGCAACGGCATCTCCCCACAGACCCTGGCGGAGGCAGGCTATCTCCGAAAGATGACCAAGCCACGGTAGAACATGAGGGTTAAGGTTTGGTGCCATCTTATACGTGTACCCTTTACTATAGGAATGATGCAAGCAAGTAACGGTTCTACTCCCAGGTTTATGGTTGCACGCTGAACAAAAGATTGGGACATTCTGCCAATGTCATGGCCGGCACAAGATAAAACGAGCTCACCATGAAGGTCGTTCACTTGGGAATCCAATTCTTACTTCAGGTGTTGGAGTTGAACAACTTGTAGAACATGGGTGGCTCGTCTTTTTTGGAAATCGGACTCCCAAAATTGTAGTGGTTTTCTTGGCTTCCCGTTACACCCACAAAACATGGGCACCCTCAAAAAAGACGAGCCCCCCACACCGGTTTCCCTTTCCAGGGACCAAGCCAAAGCTTGGTACAAATTCCTGGCTACCCTTCCACCGAAAATCCTGGAACCTGACTGGAAGTGCCTGGAAGACCCTTTCATGCTAGTGTCCCTGCTCCAAGAGTAGGACTGCAAAGCCCACACACCAATACGCCCCAAGGACCAGGGCATAGAAGCATTACCTTTTGGGTTGTGATACCTCCCCTGCCGCATGCACTAGCCCCGAGGAAGGTGCCTGTAAGTCCTTTGAATGACGCATCGTTCACCCTAAAGTTGGATTGAAGTATCACCCAAAACGACCTAATAGCGCAGACTTGGACAACTTGACAAGTTGATGGTTTGGAGGTCTTTGAACTATTTCATAACCTTCGATTCCATTTATGGCTTCATTTTCCTTTTTTATGGGGAAGACTAGATAAATGGAGTTGTGGGACCACCCCCCCCCCTATGGTACGGGGGATCATATTTGTTGTAGCCCAGATGCTTGGAGAATCCAGCATGCCTGTTTGTCCATTCGGGGCGGGCAGCTCCCCTTTTGGTCTGTGAGTATGCATAGGTAATTTGAATCGGGAACACCCACAAGAACGGTTGGTGGGCATGATCCCCCATATGAATGATGTCCTACGGGGTCTCCGAAATAAAACAATAGGCCCATATCCCGGGTTTTCCTGTGTATCATATTTCCTTTTTGCAGAGAGCTTACATGGCCAAACTTCGCAAGCTCACTGCCCAATGGTTTTCTTTCGAATTTCCCCAAAAACTCCGACCCATTTTACAACTCAACCCGCTTGTTCTTGGCCCGGCAAAAAGCTTGGCACAACAAGCCGCCAGGACGGAGATCTGGCGGACTTTGAGCTTCCTCCGTCCGCCCCTCGCTGAAAGGCAGTAGAAATTCAACCGGGCGGATCAGGAGCTGCACGGTTTTTCGTGGTTTCATCGGCCCGTGGAACATTAAATTGGCCAAAACTGCGAAAGGTTCTCTAGAAGGGGACCTGGCCCAGACAGGTTCGAGTAAGCGGGTTTCGATCGCTGGCGCCAAATGACATTTAGGGCGTGTGGCATCCCAAAGGAACCCACTACAAGCCACTCGGGCACCCCTACCTAAGGCGTGTCTCAAAATATGGGACCCAGGAAACCTCCCAAACAAAAGCTTTCGCTGGCGTTCTTGTAACAGCGAAAACACCTGCATTAGTGCTTGTGACAATCACAAAGAGGGACTGCGCATGGCTCACACAGTCCTCAGATGGACTTGAAGAAGACGACGAGGGACGGGTTTCTTCATCTTTTGGTCGCGCGCGTTTGGGGCTCATGCTGTTTGATACTCTAGAGCGGTATTGCCGACAAAGTGAGTTATGCTGTGTCTGTTTTAAATGTCCTGATCACAAACCACCTTTGTTGAAGACTTGCCAATCATTGTAACGCACAACAGTTTTCCACATGATGAGCAAACAAGCAGGGGATGGCAGTATGCTTCTGTGAGTCATTTGAAGGTTTTCACGCAGCTAGACAAGTACGCAAGCAACTTGCGATTGAACCAGTGGTTGTTTGAACCAGTTGCCTTTTGGCTTCCCAACGAATAGGCCTAGAACACGAGCAGTGGCAACATTGCTTGTGAGGGCTTTGGCTTGAAACCCATGAACCATGGTGAGCTGTTTGACCAGTATCTGTGTATTTATGTTAATCTCTCTCTATATATATATATACAGCAATACATATGGTGTTTGCTCGCAAGATTCTCAGGTTCGTGATCTGAACAGTGTTGGCAGGGCCGAGTCGATCCTGATATCTTGGGCCACTGACACTGCCCCTGACTTGAAGTCTTTTGCACTGTCCTGGCGTTGGGAATGTGACCAAGCACTTTTACAAGAAGGCCTTGTGCCACAAGATGCGCTGGGTCCCTTTGGCAAACTCCTGACCCTAAGAGCCATCAAAAGCTGCGGCAAGAAGCCCCTGGCATTCTTTACCACACGATTGGAGTATAGCCCTATCATACTGTGGACGAAATTCCGTTCGCACCATTTAAGAACCATGGTTGAAACCATATCGTTTGTTGGTATTTACAGGAGAATCGACTCATTCCAGCAATTTCTTAGGCGGTGCGAAGCGGATTTCGTCCATCCACAGTACCGGGCATGACTCCGTCTGACCCACCCAACCCCACAGCTTGAGGCCGTCCCGCTGGAGAAGGACGGAAAGGTCACTGACGATGACACCAGCGCGAGCCTCTTGGCCTCGCGTTTGAATGCGACACAAACTTGGATCCGGGTCGGTACAACATGACTTGACATGGATGTGGCTCAAAATTAAACAGGAGGGGTTGCGCAGGGTTTGGTCCATGTTTCCACTTACCAGGGTTCCATTTTGGTACCGGTTTTTTGAGCCACAGCCACATGAGCGCGCAACACATGCTTCTATCTTGAGCGCGCCACATGGTGCGGCTGATGTGTGCCATCACAACACCTTAGGGATTGGTGGTGAAGTGGAGTGGGGTAGGCCAGTCAAGTTGTTCCCGTTTTGGTTTCAATGCGAAATCAAAAGGACAACCCAGGCATTTGATTCCTATCCGGCGGGTTCCTCAAGTTGGGTCCAGGTGACGGCTGCGATGCCTGGTCCCACACGGCTCGGCTGCCGCAGCTGCGCGTGCGAGCTTTCCGCCGGGGCCTCTGGGCCTGCGTCAAACTAGGGGACCCCCCAAAAAGCGGGTGGTTTTCCCTTTGGTTCCTTTAAGACAACCCCGGACAGGGTCCGTTTTTGTCAAATCCCGACCTGCTTCTTTTCGGGCCGCAAGCCCAGACTGGTATCGAGATCAACAATGTATTGCCGATAGGAACAAGCCCGGACGCTTCACTCCAGCCTCCAATCAAAGTTGTTGCTGCTGATGGTGGGGGAACAGATGACTGACTAGCTAGCTGACAGGAAGAGATTTGGGGCGTGAGGGGCAACCAGCGCAAGCTGTTAAGGGGGACACATCCCTAAGTTGCCCATAGCTGATACCTCCAAAGCCGCACATTGCTTGCATGTGGCTGAAAGAAGACAGATGCACTGAGTCTGGTGCTTGATTGGAGACCTCCCCTCCAAAACAGATGCTTTCCCCTAGCTTTGCTTGGCAATGAACAGGGAAACACTGGCGAGTGAACGTGGTCTTAGCCACACCTGCCTGGAATCCTTGTGCCGGTGGCGTTTGCAGGCGTGCTCTATACGTGAATGAGCATGTTGGACAAACATGAACACATTGAGAAATGGCCAACATTGCTGGAGCATGGGCTTTTAATGGCCTCCCATCAGCTTCGTGTGACACTATTGTCAGCCCAGATGCAGATGGGGTCCGTCTCTTTGCGGATTACTATATTTGGTATGTTCGTGCAATGAATTGCTTTGGTATCCTAAAGTCTTGGGCATCCCTTTTGGATGGTAGACCTTTTCAAGACCACTCCCAGTCAACCATCTTCAACCCTAGTTGATATCTTCGGAACGTGAAGGCATCAAGGCATGAAGTCTTGAGATTTTTCCCCCGGATCCTTGCAAGCATCCTGACTGGGCGCATACTCGAAACTTGTCACATGGACCTGCCAAAGGCGCGGGTTTTCCCGCAAATTACGTTTTGCTATGGTCATTTGGGGTGTAATTCATTGGCCGGTTGGCCGTGTGGCGCTCAGAACTGCGGAGATTTGAGCTCCGGGGCGGTAGACTTTGGGCCACAAGTGTCCCAGAATCCCCACCCCCAATACAAAGGGAATCGAGGGAGGGGGGCGACCCCTGAAATTCCATTTATGGGTTGCATTTTCCCTTTTGTGACTGGACAACTGGAAGTCGGGGGCGCCCCCTTCCCCCTTTCGCTCTGGGGGATGTCCCAGACCAAAGAGAAGGTGTAGCTTCTCTTTGAGCTCGGGGATGACACTGCGAATGCAGTCACCAAATGACAGGTTTATTTGAGACATCCCCCCCTCCAAGCGTCCCCTCACTCACCCGGAAATGGCTGAAAATTGTGAATCCAGGACTCAAACTACATGAGACATCCAAGACTCCGAGCTGCAAAATATTTGCCAGGTTGGGACTTGTTGCGGCACTAAAAGAAACAGAAGGCACTTTAAAATTATTCCATTTGCTCAATAGTATGCTAGATTTCCCCTTTTGGTTTTTAAGGGAATGTATGACTATTGGATTTGTTTCTAGGAGGCTTAAGCAAATGGAGAATTGCAATTACCTGAAATGGGGAGGCACACTTGAATGTGGTGGGTTGCAAATCCCTTCTCGTAAGAAAGAAAACAACCTGCCGCATTTGGAGGGAGCGTCACCGGAAATTCGCGGAACCAATCCCCAGGCGCATCTCCTCTTCGATCGCCGAAGCTTGGCAGAGCTTGAGGCTTATGCCATCCGACCATTGGCGGAAGATGGCGGGGCATGTCTAACACAAGAGTGGTATTGAAGGAAAGCAGATACTGAACCCTTGTTGGCCGTCCCCTATTTTGTATCACACCCAAATGAGGCTGTTCCCCGCGTTGTTCTGTTTTTTTGGTTTTTCTCGAATTTTCCCTTCTTTGAAACATCACCTGGGTCAACAGGATTATCGGCAGGCTCCCAGAGCTTACCCGAGGAATGTGGGGGTTCAGGAGCGGCGAGGGGGTTCTACTTGGCTTAGTGGGGATTGCAGTGCGGCTAGGGGGGGTTGTAGTGAGGCCACAACCAGTTTGATTTCGACCGCAGCTCTATGGAGCTTGTTGCCGAAGCATGTCACTCCATTGCGGTTATTAGTCTCCCAGATGCGCCAGCAATGTGCATCTTTTCATCGAGGATGATGTAGGATGAATCCGGACATGCAATGCATCTGCCCAAAGGCTCCTGGGGCTTTCAATGGAAGACCCGACCCCTCCATAAGGCACGCGGAGGTGTTTGGGGGTCTCAAAACCTGGCTGTTTGAGGGCCCGAAATTGATCGGGAGCGTCTGGGTGGAATGAAGTGCAAGAAGCGGGTCTTCTAGCTCGGCCAGGATGCGATCACCAGACAACGCACCCCGCCGTCGGTCTAAGGTGGCTTGCCTGCATATCGCACCTGTGGGATGTACTTGCCAAATTGCAGATCAGTGCTTGGATAAAGTGCAAAACGGGTAGTTAGATTTTGCGTGCATGTATCGCGTGTTTTGTGATCATTTTTACTAAGTCCTGGAATTGCTCGTCAACTCTGCCCCGTTGGATGCAGGCAAATCTGCCCGTGTGAGTACGTGGCACTGTTGGCAGTCCAATGTTGGTTTGGGGATTACCCTGCCAAGCCAGGTACGCCCGGCTCTTACTTGCAGCAGCTTGGGAGCTGGAAATCCAGAGTTTTGCTCGGGTCGGCAAGGTAGCCCCTGCGAGATGTTCAAGCTCTCCCAAGTTGGGGTAACAAATGCCCAGCCCCTGAATGGTGTCATCACTGAATTGGTTCTAAATGTGAGTTTCGGCCTGAAAGGCCCTTGCATGCGATTGCCCCATCACTTTTGGAGACTTGAAGGCCATGAAGGCGATGCAGGCCTTGAGGCCCTTTTGTGCATGACATCATTGTCAACCGATTGCTTTTCGGTCCGAAGGGGCCCTTTGAGCGATTTCACATTTAGCATTTGAGAGGAAAAGCCACGCAGCGCGTGCGACTTTGAGGACTCACTGTGGTGCAAGCAAACAGTGCAGTCAGTTGGTAGCGGAGCCGCAGAGCGGCATATTTACAGCTGCAGCGCGGCAAAGCAGTTTTGGTGTGGGACTGTGGAACATAGCAGATGATGGCAGCGCCAGACCTTGCTTTAGGTTCTGCATCGAGCCCACCACCTCCGCCTGACCGGCATGAGCGTCTATTTGATGACCTGCAGGAAAGGCAGACGGAGTCTGCGAGGTCCGGGGATGTGAGCCTTCGTTTGAGCGAAAGCGGAGGGTCGAGATGGATCTGGAAGTGCACGAATTGCGCAGCCACTCAGTTTAGCCGTGAAGGCGACTCTTGGATTTGCGACTTGTGCGGCAATCCGGATTTCCGACCAGAGGAGCTGACGCCCCTTGGCAGCGCGTACGGTGATGATGCTCGCGATTCAGACGCAGGCAGCCACCGTAGTTCCGGACGCAGAGCGTCGGATAGATTGTGGCAGCCACAGCAATTGCCCCCGGGTTTGGGACGTCGAGCAGGCGGTGGACCCCCTGGTATCCTTTTGATGAAGGATACGAGCGTGCAGAGTCCGAGGCCCCGACCAACGACCCGTGTGTTGACCCCCCTTCAGATGGTTCTGCAGGGCGCAGGAGACACAGGCGAGGCAAGCGTGGCAACTACAATCAGGTTAATGCAGATCCGGATGGTGCAGTTCCTGGCCAAGCCATTGAGACTGCTCACCAGGTGAATTCTGGATCAGATGTTTCACGAAATCAAGTTTTGTTGCAGCAGCTGTTGACAGTTGACATGCAAGCCCACCTTGAAGGACGCTGACAAGGATTCATGGACCTCCCGGAAAGGCCCTCAGCCTGGAGTGAGGTACCGATCAGGTCAACCGCCCCAACCTCCACCTTGGCGGTACAACACACATGATGCGCGTGCATTCAGCAAGTGGAAGCGCAAGGTTGGGATTTGGGAGCGACAGGTTTCTGCATATTTGCCGAAGAATGAGGCGGCGCAAGCTTTTGCTGTATACGTCGCTCACCGGAGAGGCCGAAGATGAAATTGAGTACATGGACATGGCCCAGGTTGACAGCAAGGATGGCATCAGCCATATTATGTCTGTTTGGAGGGCGCACTGCAGCAGAAGACAATTTTCCTGAAGAGACGATATTTGGATGAGTTTGAACATTTGCAACGTTATGCCAATGAGACCCTGAGAGCTTTTGCAAACAGGTATCAACGTTGCGAAACTGCACTCCAAAGTGTAGGAATCAGTGTTGGCAGCATGTACGACTCTGAAGCGAGGGGATCGAGGTTGCTTGACCGGGCTCGGGTTTCAAGGGAGCACCAACGCATGATCCTGGTCGCAGCACACCACAGCCTGGATTTCCAGAGCATCAAGGATGCCATGATGCTGATGTTTCCTGATCACCGTGGAGCTCCACAGCTGTATGGACGTGACGGGAACGTTTTGAAAGGCGGTGGCAAAGGCGGCAAAGGTTCTGAGCATCCTGGAGGTAAGGGCGCTGGTAAATCTAAGGGTTCCCACCCTTCATCAAGCCCCAGTTCAAGCAATGCAGCCCCACGCGAGCGGAGGGTGTACATCACTGATGAGGCACCCGAGGTGCAGGCAGATGATGAGATTCTTGCATCAGACGCCGGAGAGCCCGATGATGAAGACGCTGATGAGGCCGGGCTACCGGACATTCCGGAAGGCGATGAAGATGCTGATGAACAAGAAATTGATCCACAAGATGATTTGGATCAGCTTGCGCATGTGCTTACAGTGACGGCGAAGCGATTGCAATCGGCGACGCTGGGACGTAAGTACACTGGATATCAGAAGACGACTGCAAGCAGGAAGAAGAATTCACATTGCGCAGCATGTGGCGGCGCAGGTCACTGGTACGCGGATCCTGAGTGTCCCATGGCTGGACAGGCAGACAAGAAGGGCAAGGGCAAGGGCGATGACGTTTCACAGCAAAGCAACGGCAAGGGCAGGTTTGACAAGCGTGGCACTGGCGCGAAAAAGGTGCTGGCGGTCACAAGACATCCTGCTGGAGAAGAAATCAAACACGCTGTAGCAACGGATGAGCAAACCAAGGAGCCCACCTTCTTCTCCTATGTGGCCGTTTCGGGACACGACGTTGTTCACAACATACAGGAGGTGCATGTGACTTCTCTTGCAGATTTCAAGGGCTATGTTGTTTTGGATACAGCTTGCCAACGTTCATGTACAAGCAGCACCTGGGTATCCAACCACACGCAGCTTTTGGGCAAGTGGCGGATGAAGCCCATGATGGTTGATTCGTCAGATGATTTTCAATTTGGTGCAGGCGAGATGCAACGTTCCCACCAACGAGCTTATCTCCCAGCTGGCATCGGACAGCAATGTCTGGCCCTCGGAGCGAGCGTTCTGGAGGACTCGTCGATTCCTTATTTGGGTAGCCTGCGGATGATGGAGAAGTTGGGATGTGTGATTGACATGCCGAACCACAAAATTTGGTTGACTGCTTTTGGTATTTCTGTGCCACTGGTCAATATCAATGGGCATGTTGGAATGAACATTTGTGATTATCCTGAGGAAACGCATGAGAGCTGGAAAGCTTGTTCTGATGAATCAATTTGGAAAACGCCAGACCCTGAAGTCGTGTTTCTTCCGCAGCACAAGCCGGCTGAAGTATCGATTGCAGATCTGCCAGATGCCCATTCGTCACGCACCTCCGAGCTGGTTGACAGCATGGCGGCGGATTGTGATGATGGTGCGCAAGGCGGAGATGATGTTGCTTTCAGCAATGGCCAGCGCAGTGAGGCTGGGACTACGGCCACGGAGATGGCTTGCATCTCACGAGCTTCTGCAGGAGGAACACGAGAAGCAGGTGCAGATCAGGGAGTACCACAAGGCAACGAAGGCGTCGAAAGCCGAATGCGTTCACCCGGAGTTTCAACGCTACGGCAACAAGTACGGCAGGTTCAGCAAGTGCCTTCGGTGCGGGATTCGGTACCGCTGGTCAGACGAAGCAGCAGGTTGGGAAGTGTTCCGACCAACCTCTTCACAAAGCTCTGCCTCGTTGCCGCTGCCTTCACCGGCATCAATCATACCCTCAGCGATCACAGGCAAGGCGGCGAATTCCATGGCTTCAGCAACGGCCAAGACCAAGGCGAAGACGAAATGTTCACGGGCCAGTTCGGGGAATACCTCAAGAGGTTCGACGACGAAGCAGCTGGTTCCGGCAGAGGAGGACGAGATCCATCAGGACAGTTTCGAGATGGTCAGTGGCGAGCCTATGGAGGACACGGAGAGCGAGGTCAGCGCGGAGTACCGATGGGAGTGAGAAAGAGGTTGAAAGGAGAATGGAATTCAATTGCGAGAGTCTACCAGGCCGAGCTAGCAGGACTTCAAGGACGGCAAGAACATGGAAGGTTCAAGACCGACCTGCTGGAGCTCTACGCAGGTGAAGGGAAGCTAACGCGCGAGGCACATCACTATAACCTGACCACCACGGAGCCGCTGGACATCAAGAGCGGCACAGATTTGGGCTCCGACGAGGGCATGGCTTTGGTGGACTACCTGATGAAGGAGATGACTCCAATGTGCATAGCGGCAGGCTATACATGCACAAACTGGAGCCTGTTCAATGAGAACATGAACTTTCATCACCGGCTTCACGAGCTTGAGGAGAAGCGTGATGAAGAACGACCACGGCTGCGAAAGCTTTGCAGTTGGATGGATGAGACCGCGGAGAGAGGTGGATTCTACATTCTGCAGAACCCCCAGAGGTCAAGACTTTGGGAGGAGAAGTGCGTGAAGGAGTTGATCAATAAGCACAACGGTTTTATCAAGGACATCGATGGCGGTGCCTACGGCCAGATCAACCAAGAAGGCGACCCAGTCTGTAAGACCTTCAGGTTCGTGACGAACAGCAAGCACGTGGCCAATCTCTTGGACAAGCGCCTCACCGCGGAGGAGAAGAACGTGTGTGTCCCCATTCAGGGACGTGAGACAAAGGAGAGCCAGGTCTACCGGATGCGCTGATTCACGCGATCTTGCAGGGCATCCAGGCTGAGGCCAAAGAGTACAATAGAATTCGGTTCAACTCGAAGGTCCACATGGTGCACTACGCGAAGCCGGTGTTAGAGGTCGAAAGATGGGCCCCGATCCTGGCTGATGTGGAGAGGGTCTTCGAGGGCAACAGCTACAAGACGGTTGATGTGACCGAGAGCGATGAGATCTACTAGAAAGTTGTGGAGCTGGTCCCATGGAAGCTGACCAAGATTCAAGTGGTCAAGATGCCGCTGGTGAGGAGGTTCCCCATTCACTTCCCGTACACCCATCGTGGATGTGCTCTGGAAACTACTTCCGGGAAGATTGTGATCGAGTCCGAGGACGTGGCCAACATCAGGCACCCTAAGCAGCGATTCAGTGAGCCTGTCAAGGTTGGCATTATGTTCTACGGCACTGCGGAGGACGATGGCAAGGAGGAACCACCTGGAGATCCTGCACTACCAGTTCCAGATATGGGAACGGACATCACGTTCCCGAATTGTCCACCTGGTGTTGACAAATCAATCAGGAGGGCAATCGCGCGGCTTCACATCAATCTCGGACACGCCCAACGTCACGAGATGCAGCGCCTGCTGGCGTTGAATGGCGCCTTGAGTCAGCAAGCACAGCAAGGCATTAAAGACATGGTGTGCGGATCGTGCCAGAGGACAAAGACGCCAGCGAGAGTGAACCCGGCGTCTACACACGTGCCGTTGGGGCAATTTGGTGAAGTTTTGCAAGCAGATCTGTTCCATGTGAGGAGCATTGTGGGCGACAACTACATGATCCTGGGCGTGATCGACGAAGCGACACACCTACATGGAGCAAAGAGAGTGCCATCTCGAGATCCGGAAGTTCTGGCCAAGACCCTGGTGGAGATTTGGTGTCAAGCCTATGGATGGCCGATCCAGGTGAAGCTCGATCCGGACGGAGGGTGGCAAGGTCAATTTCGTGCACTTGCAGATCAAGCAGGTGTGCATTGCAGTGTAATACCAGCCGAATCTCATCACAAGATTGGTCTGATAGAACGGCACAATGCGGTTCTACGAGACAGTTTGGAGCGTGTGGTGGACAACCAGTCGGTGGCGACTGCAGAGGACATGGATTTAGCTGTGATCGCGGCCTTGCACGGCAAGAACAGCTTGGTTCATTTTCATGGAAGGCCACCATACATGGCTGCCTTTGGTCGACTACCTCGTCTACCAGAAGAACTCCTGAGTGATCCACATGGTTTGGTGGTTGGCGAGTCCGTGGGTGAGAACCACAGGAAGGCCGAGCTCTACCGCTGCGAGGCAACCAAGGCGATTGCGGAGATGCAGGCAAGTGCATCGATGCGAAGGGCGCTTTTGAGGAAGACAGCTCTTCGTGGAAGTCAACTACCGGAGGTGGAACCAGGGAGCAAGATAGCTTACTGGAGGTGGCAACATCGAGCCAAGGGATCCAAGAAGAAGGGCGGCTTCTCTATCGGCAGATACCTTGGACCAGATCCCGATGGTCGCTCATGTTGGATTCATACGGGTTCGACTACGGCTAGAGTGACTCCAGAACAACTACGAGTGGCAACGTCTTTTGAGGATTGGACGCCCGACGAGGAGGCTATCCGCATCTTGAAGGACGGCGCAGCATCAATTCGACAAGATCTATGGGAAGATCACCGAGGAGAAGGACCACCACAGCAAGATGAGATGACGCGCACGGAGGAGGTCATAGAGGGCGAGTTTGGTGAGCCAGAGCTTGCAGCACTTCCTCATGCACCTAAGCGAAAAGCTTCACGTGATCTCGGTGAAGAAGAAGCTCAACGTGGAGACTTGCAGCAGAACATCAACATCCACAACGAGGAGAACGTCCAAGTGGAAGTATCAGTCCTGCCTCAAGCCCCACTTCAACGAGCACAACAACCACGTGTCAGGTACGGCATGCACCCTGACCAACCTGAACTGCGAGTTCCTCTTCTACCACCACCACGAGGGCGGTCAAGAGCTAGGTCACGGACTCCTTCGAGAAGGGAATCCACAACTACGGCGGCACCACCTCAAGCACTACTACCAGAGATAGAAGATGGAGCTATGGCAGATTCTGAGGCTGAGTTGGAACCTCAACTTGCTCTACCAGCACCTGACACAGCAGCATCAGTACAAGTTCCAGAAGCGCCAGATGAGCACATGCAACCGCCAGATCAGTCAGCGGCCGGAAGGTCTGAACTACCTCTTGAACAACCAGCACAAGATCAGCTACTTCCACAGCCTGAAGTTCAAGTTGGTCAATCTGGCAATGACGTCCTCTACACCTACGTGATGGACAGCAGTGGAGCTATCACGTTGATGGACGAAACATGGGATGGTTCGCCGGAGGTAGATGTTCCTTTTCCATGTAGGCCTTTTTACCGGGCCTATGTCAGCCACACTGGCAGCGAGACGAACAATGAAGACGGCAAGGGTATAGCACGTCGGATGACGCGAAAGGAAGCAAGGCAGCTTGATTGATCGTGAGATTCCGTGGCGAGATATCCTGGAGATGAACGATAAGACGAGGGCGGACTACATCAAAGCAATACAGAAGGAGGAGACCTCTTGGTTTGCTTGGAATGGTGTGACCCCCGTGGATGATGCAACGGCCGAAGCAATATTCCGTGATCCTATAAGGCGAAAACGGATACTGAAGAGCCGATGCGCTTATAGAGACAAAAGCAAAGGCGCAGGTGCTTTACAAGCAAAAGCACGAGTAGTTGCTGTTGGATGTTCTGATCCGGACCTTTTTCAACTCAACCGGGACAGTCCTACACCCACAAGGTTGAGTGAATATCTGATTTTGAACATATACTGCAGTGGCCGGAACGGAATGGTGGGTTCTACGCGTTGCAGGTTTAAACTGTGGTCTGGAGATGTACACACAGCTTTTCTGCAGGGCGAACAGGACAGCAACGAGCGCGAGGAGGATCTTTATATGGCTCCACCCAGAGACCCCCTCATAGAAGAAGCAGGAGCATATCCACATCGTCTGTATAAGATCACGGGCAACGTGTACGGACTGGCCAATAGTCCTCGGTTGTGGACACGGGTGATCATCAGACGAATGACCGGAGCGCAGTTCCGACAGCACGGATATGATCGGATGATGTTTCTGAAGCACTTGGAGGTTGAGCCGGGCAAGCGTGAATTGGTGTGCGTGGTATTGGCATATGTCGATGATTTTCTGGTGTGCTACAACGAGGACTTGTACGACATCAAGGAGATCGAAGATATGTTCGATTGGGGCACCATCACACGGCACGATGAGGACAACCCCATCACTTTCAAGGGCAAAGAGATATCAACGATATTCGAGGATGGCAGATTTAAGGTTCGCTTGGCACAGCCGAAGTTTATTTCTGCATTGGAACCAGGTCGTCTACCCCGTGGCCGATTGTCGGGTGAGACTTCTTTGACAGACCAAGAGCGTCAAGACTTTAAGTCTATGACCGGGAGTTTGCAGTGGCTGGCGGGTCAAACAAGACCGGATATTGCGAGTGTGGTATCACTTTCTTCAAAGGGTCCGAGAACCACAGTTGAGGACTTGAAGAATGTCATCGATACAATTGATTTTGTACGAAGCACACCGCAACACGGTATCGTTTTGGAGCCGGTTCCAATAAACCCTGGTACAGTGATTGCAGTTTTTGATGACAGCGGCTGGGCAAATGCAGAGCAGACACGCAGTCAGCATGGCGCAGTGATCGTTATTACATCGCCGACGGTGACAGAACAAGTTGCACCTTGTGGGATCATTGACTGGAAGACGTCGAGGAGCCCGCGAGTTTGCAGAAGCACGTTGTCAGCAGAAGCAAGTGCAGCAGACATGGCAGTGGACAGAGGCGCGATGGTGAATGCTTCACTTTCTGAGTTGATTTGGGATGTGCCAGCACATCGCGTGGGACATCGTCTGCGTATGATTCAGATTACAGATGCAAAGAGCCTTTTTGACTGCATCAGCCGTGAGAACCCAAGTCTTGAAGACAAGCGTTCTCTGACAAGTGTGCGGTCAATACAGGAGATCATCAGCAGAGATGACATTTTCTGGACGCCAACTTTTCTGATGCGGGCAGATTCCTTGACGAAGGTTGACAAGGAGTTGCAACTGCAGATGGCCGAGTGGTGCCAGAAGCCTTTTGTACAGCTCCGTGATGGGTCAAAGAAACAAAGATAAGTGTGAGTTTCGGCCTGAAAGGCCCTTGCATGCGATTGCCCCACTTTTGGAGACTTGAAGGCCATGAAGGCGATGCAGGCCTTGAGGCCCTTTTGTGCATGACACCATTGTCAACCGATTGCTTTTCGGTCCGAAGGGGCCCTTTGAGCGATTTCACATTTAGCATTTGAGAGGAAAAGCCACGCAGCGCGTGCGACTTTGAGGACTCACTGTGGTGCAAGCAAACAGTGCAGTCAGACTAAATCCACTCCGTGGATCCTGCGGCGTGTGATTTGCAAGACCTTCGAGGTTCGCCATGTGAAGAGATCCATCAACCTCGCAGCAGGGTGTGGCTCCAAAATTTCCAGAGCTAGGGAGATGCAGGTAGGCATTGCTTGCCATTTTGGGTACCCTCCCACCGACTAGCATAGAAGTGCACAGATCCCTGTAAGACTACTTTCCTCTTGGAAGGGGGGGTCGTGCACTTCCATGTTAGTTGGTGGGAGGCTTCCAGTTTTTGAACCACAGACGAAAAGCCACGACAAACACACCAACCGTAGGTTTCTTTCTCCCCACCGGATGCTTCTTCCTTCATCTCAGGACGAAGGCGCAGCGCACCTTGGCAGTTGGAAAGCGCGGGTTATGGGGGGTCCTGAAAAAAGGGGCCAAAGGGATGGGCGAGGTGCATTTGTCACCATATGATGTTTCTGTGGAGACAGCCAGTATGAAGTTTCACCAGACCTCGGAGAAGAGCCCCAGGATCCCTCCAACTAACATGGCAACTGACAGGGGCTCCCTTCAAAAGGAAATGAATCTTCCAGGTACCCCTTTACAGGTGCCATTGTTAGTTGGAGGAAGGGTAGCAGTTTGCCTTTTTGGAAATCTGCGAGCGAGAGCCCATTCGGGGTGAAACGAGCTCACCCTACAACCAGCCCGAGGGGGTGTGCAATTCACGATTCGCCTTGTTTTGACTACCCTTTTTGAACGCCCTCTTTCTCCCTTTCTGTGTGGTGGCTTCCCACTTAAACATGGTCAACCCCCCAAAAAGATGTCCTTTATCTACCAGGATCACTGGCCAGCTGGGCTTGTGGCATTGACTTTGTCAGCTGTGTTGCCTTCTGGTTTTCGTTCATTTTCCGACTTTCTTTTGGCTCACCTGCTGAGTTGTGGTTGTGGGAAATGACTGCCTTAGATCCCCTTAGACCGCCACTTCCTGCGAGGACAACGGAAGCCCGCGCTAATGATGAAGCAAGTAGCCATAGGGTGATGGCACGAAAGGGATGTGTTGTTCGCGAACACATGCCGCACTGGCAGAGATTTAGGAGTTTGCTGCTTTGTTTTGTACTTCAGTTTGATACTTGCCCCCAGCGAACCATTGTGTTTTCCAACGTGAGGTGTTTTTCAGCCAAGGTTCCAAGCGAATAGCACGTTACATGTCCGGGTCCTTGGTGATTTATCGAGCTCCTTCTTTGGGCCAACAGTCCATCACTCAGTGCTTTCCCTCGTCAGGAAAGTGTATGGCCCTGGGAAAGTCCACAGGGTGTCTCACTGCCATGGTGTTAGGATGAACTCTCGGTTTCACTTCCCCAGTTTCCGGGCGTTACTCTTTTTGGGAAGACAAAGTTTCGTGGTAAACACGAACGTCTATAGGCTTTTGTGAGGCCAATGCACAAGTGAGTGGTCATGGTTCACGAGTGAATAGTTGCTGTCATCGATCGGAAGTGAGTGGTCATAGTTCAAGGGTTAATATTTTCTGTCATCTACGGGGGATGGCACCAAATCCCATGTCAAGGAATGCAGTGAATAGTGACCGGCAGAGAAAAGGTGACGTTTACGGGAAAATGACCATGACAGGCTGACAGGTAGATAGTGTTTCTTCTTCGTGGCCACCTTTGCCAAAGGGAAGGCTGGGCGCCACATAGTTGTTGAGTTCTCCGAAAGAAAGCCAGACCCGATGGCTCCGTTGCCGTTCCCCACGTGAGTCACCGACAATTTTCAAGGCACTCTACCGTTGACTCCCATAACAGAGGAGCCGAGCCCCGTTTGTCCGTGTCCTTCTCCGGATTCTCCTTTGAAATGAGTTTACTTTCTATAATGGTCAATGCATAGATCCAAATCAAACATATTGGTTCCGTTTCCTTTGACGGGGTTTTGTCCGTTGAGTGGGCCACGCCCTTGGATAAGCAGATATCCAAGGGCCACACGCGCCCAGCTTCGAGAGGGAGGCACAGGTGTCGAGGACGGGGACTGGCAAATTCTCGATTGGCACCCTGCGTGAATTACTCCCCTGCAAATCAACGTGGAACTACAAATTCCCATGGTTTTGGAAGGGGCTCCTCTTGGGAACCCCCTTTGTTCCGTTCCAAGTTATTTAATTTGGAATGGAATGGTTAGGTTCCATGGTAATTTGGAAGGGAATAACCCCAGGTTGATTCAGTCATAGGTCTTGACTTTTGGGGTACCACTCCTTTCGTGGTAGATGATTAAGCCGGAGTCAGTGGCGTGGGCTTGTCTCGACATGGTGACAACCTGCCAGATGGGTTCCGGTGACCGTTTGGAACCGTTTATGATGCTCCGGTTATGCATCTTGCTTGTTTCTGCAAGGCTGTGTGGAGTTTCTTCTTGCCGCTTTGTGTGCGAAGAGCGGGATGGTCAATTGTCACCCCCCAGAAGACTTTTGAATGTGAAACGTTTGAAAAGGCTTTGGAGTGCAGAAACTCGACTGCGCAAATGACCCCGCAACAGCTTAACGGCAAGGGTTGTGTCCTAGGTTGCAATTTAAGAGGCGCAACCTTTGGTGCCCTTTGCGGTGGCCTTTCAAGACCCTTCGAGGCAACTCAACTTGAAGCTCCCGGAGCCGAGTTTTCGGGCTTGGCAAAAGTGGTTACCCTCCCACCAGCTAACATGGAAGTGCACAGACCCCTGTACAAAGACTACTTTCCTCTTGGTTACTTGGCCTTTTTGCACTTCCATGTTCGTTGGTGGGAGGGTAGGGTGACGTACCATCCATGAATTTCCGCCATGTACGTCGCGACATCACCGACCGGGTTGTTTGCGCCCGCGTTTCAGCTTGTGCAGGTTGCCGACCTGGGATATTGCAGGTGTGTGAATTAGAGTAGCTTGAGGAGATAGATCATACAACCGGTATTCATGGTTGCGTGGCTTACGGCTTGCTTTCACCCTGAGAGGACGTGCTGAACCGCGTGCGGTACGACCTTTGCGACACTCAGATGCATGGCAGCTAGCCCTCCTTTCAAAATCAACACATGGTTGTTCAAGCAATAGAGGCTGAAGCACGTTTAAACCAAGGGTTGGCCCAATCCTGACCCCCACCCCTTGCAGGTCTCTCACTTGACAAGTCGGTATGTCGGAATTGCGCACGTCTCACAGTTCCTGTCAGAAAGCTTTGCATGAAATTGGGAACCCCTGGATATCCTTGAGTCATTCATAGAAGGTGTCCCTAGATTTAGCAACAAAATCGTCACTGGGCCGGACCGGTGGGGTGAGGGTTGGGGTTTTCATGGGGCGATGGCCAGGATTCCGAAGGCTTCCAGGTGCTGGTGGACAACGTGGAGCGGCCCAACCTGTGCCGCGCCCACCTGCTCCGGGCGGAGTGCAGGCGGGGATTGGAATCGGACCTGGAGGGTTGGTAGGAGGATTTCTTCTGATTTGAAATTGGGCGTGTCGTTGTTTGGGGGGTACCCTTTTTGGGACATTGTTTAAAGCCACAAGGAAGACCCGCCTATTTTGGGGAGGGAACCCCTTTTTGGGTGACTTTGGAAGCAAATCAAGATGAATCTCAGGACGCTCGAAATGTCCCAAGAAAAGACTTCACATGTCCCATGCCCTGGGGAGGAACCTCAGATTGAAACGCCAAGCTCGGGTCTCTTTGCATCGGGGCAGCCCGGCGCTTTCACCTACCAACAAATTCAGCACTGCCGCGTCGGTGGCCCTGGGAACACCCTTTGCTGTTTGGAGGAAATACAGGTAATCAACTCGTATATGACTTGTGTTTCCACTGGGATTGCAGCCCCGACCGCCAGTTTAACAGGGGATGGGCTTTTAGACCACCGCTAAAGCGATTGTCCAACAATGGGTAGTTGGTGGTTGGTGTGACCAACCTTTCCAGCCCTGAGGGTAAAGGCCAGCTTAGTCGCGCAGGCCGTAGGTTTGGTGGATGGACTTGGGACATGCCGCGTACTTTGCTTGAAAAGGCTGTGTCGGCAATCAGATCATGGAACTGGCACAGGTACTAGCAGTTCATCCGCTTTCTCTCCAACTGAGTTGGTACTTTTGCTCCCGTTTGCGAAGAGCAAGGCTCAACAGTTTGAACTTGTTCAACCTGTAGCTCCCGGTCACACCCCATGCATAGCGTGGAGAAACCTCTTTTGGCTTCGCACGAGTCACACCAACTCGTTCTAGGGTGCCCACACCAGACACACGGGTCCACCAACACCTCAACCCCGTCGAGGGATCTTGAGGTGGACCTCTCCCAACATGCCAGAGTGTACCCCGCCCTCAGCAGTCGACCGTGGCCAGTGGGTCAGTCATTTCATGCTGCATTCAAGAATTTCAGCTGCAAATTCACAAATTTGGAAAAGCATCTTGTAGGCTCGCTCCTTGCAATTCCAGGGTGACTCAATTTGGGGAGGATCCTTGAACGAATCTGGCTTTTGCCCAACATCAAGGCCTCTCACGCGGTGTTTTCCCCAACGACTGAACATAAAGTATCCTTCCTCCCACTGACGTAGGGAGAGTACCTTCAGATACCTTTCTCCCAAAGGTGCCCCTTAGTTAGCGGGAGATAGGAAAGTTGAGGTGCTTCCAACTGGGAGGGCTCACTGCGCCAGGCACGGGAGCAACTGCTAGAGCCTCGGGAACGGAGCGGTGGCTCCTAGGCCTTCGCTCCCGGAGTTCCTGAACTGATCACTTTTGGGAAGCATCTTCAACCATGACTATATCTACGTTGCAATTCTTTCATGGTAGAGAAGCATCATACTTCCAGTCTTGCATTGGCTGCATTTGTCAACCGACTCAACAATCAGCCCGCTTCCCCCCAACCAAACATGACTCTCCTTAAGACATGGAAGCGTTCCTTAGCATCAGGCCATCTGAATTTGATCCTCACTTTCTGTGTTTTTCGGGCAACAAAAGGTTCAGACTTGTGGTTTGCCACCCCCTTGCAACGGAACCCACCAGGGAGATGGCCATGGACCTGTTTAAAGGCAAATGGTCTTGCAAGGACCCCCCGCGTGTTGATTAGTCGCATGGGCAGCATTTGGTAAATCTCCGACATTTGCGGGTGGGTCCCAGCACGCTGAATGTGAATGTGAGGTCCCCTCAAAAGATCGAGTATTCTATCGGCAACATGGGAGGAACATCGGGGGGTCTTACACAATTTGCCATAAGCCAATCGGCTCGTATCCAGGGGGGCAGGGGGGCTGGGGGGACCAGCAAATCGGCCCGTATCCAGTCCAACCAGCAACCCTGCAGGTATGTCACCCCTGACAAAAGGAGGTCGTCACCATACATGTTGTTTCAACATATTGCCCTGAAGAAAGATATGTTTGAAGTAGGGGTATTGGTGGTGTTACATTTAGTTCCCGGGTCTAAACAGATTTGTCTCACCCTGGGTCAGTGGGCTCAGACGGCTTCGAGGTCGGCACCACCACGGGGGCTCCTTGCGCTGGCGAGGGGAAAGGCCCTTGGTCAGCAGCGGCAGCGTGCCGCATGTGGAGGCGAACTTCGCTTCGAATCGGAAGTCTGCGGGCAGGGGTGGGCGGGTTGGGTAGCCGGGTTGGCGGGTTGGCGGGTTGGTGGGTGTTGGTGGGTGTTGGTGGGTGGGGAGTGTTGGGGGGTTTGAAAGGAAACCACCTATCTGGGGGGTGTCCCCAATTTTGAGAAACACCCATACTTTCGAACCTTGACTAAAAACGGATTGACAAAAAAGGACTCCGAAAGGATGGATCAATTTGCAAGCACAAAGATGAAGCACAAAGGAACCAACACACCACTGGATCTTTCCGCCAACCCAACTCTCAGTCCCCAACTCCCCAACCCGCAACCTCTCAAACCCCCCACACCCCCCACACTCCCCACACCCCCCAACAAGAAGCGGTCCGAGTCCTATTTTGATAGACCCCCATGTTGAGCTTCTTGTGCAGGGTTTGCAAGAAAATGGGCCGATTCAGCGACTTTTCATATTCCGACGGCATTGCTTCTTTTTGGTACGTGACGTCTTGTTGCAGGTAAGCCCTTCTTTGGTAGGACCCACTCCAACCAAAAAATAGATCGAACCTTTTTCTAGGTGACGTCTTCATTTTTGGGGGTAAGCCCATTTTTGGGTAGAACCCGGCTCCAACCACAATTTCTAGGTCACCCCCCCTCTTGGGCGCGTGTGGTCACGGACGCGGACGTTACCCCCGAGCGTCGATCACGGACACGTTGTCGCGCGTGCCAGGCCTTGGGCTTGGCGCACCTTTGGCAACTGCTGGACAGCGCGCCCTGCTCCACGGCCAGGCACTCGCTGCTGCAGACGGTGGCCTTTCTGCTCTACCAGGGCACCTCGGAACGTGTCGCTTTTTTTCTTCTTTTTCGGAGGCTTGGTTTGAAGGGAAGCCAAATGTGGGCGTGTTTTTTTTTGTTCAGGGGGCTTGGTTTGAAGGGAAGCCAAAGGTGGATAAAGCTCGTGTGAATGTTTTTCTTCTTTGCAGGGGTTGGTTTCAAGGGAAGCCAAAGGGGAGTTCACCCCGGTGACCTCTATTTTGAGCACCTGCTTATGGGGTGTTTTGGGGCGTGGCTTGCGGGGGATAGACGCCAGGGCGCCTTGGACTGTTTCCGCAGAGGTTTTTGGATCAACGTTTCCAGGTTAGAGCGCCGTGGCCGATCCGAAGGGGGGCAACATTTCGCACGTGGTTCGTTTGAGCACGTCGCCTTTGGAAAATGTCGAAACGTCTAGTCTTCCTTTTTGTTCCGAAGCGTTCGGTCCAAAATAGCAGTGATCTCGAATGGTTGGCGCCTCTAGAATGGTTGGTGGACATGCTCATGCAAGTGATGTCAAGACCAACCAATGAGCAGTATACAACACCAACCGCACCAAGAGTCCCCACGACGTCGGACTATCATGGACTACCTCCCAGAAAGGTTCTAATTAAGACTCCTTCTAAAAGCCTTTTCTGAGGGTTCTGAGTTCTGCGAGTCTCTCCTGCAGGGCATGGGTGGCTTTGGTGTCCTGTCTTCGTGCAAGCAAACAACTCTGTAACCTTCCTCCTTTGCTTTCTTGAATGCAAATCCCACAGCTTCCCTTGGATGAATGGATAACATCGTTGGTGCATTTTGCTTGGATGTTAGGACTTCAACTTTTTGCCAACTAATGAGTTTTCCATTAAACCACTAAAAGTTAAACTTTTGGCAGGGGAGCAGAAAGCAACCGGGTCGGATTGATATGCGGCCGGTGCCAGCCCAGGTGAGGTGGTTTGGTCCCGGCACGTGGGGCGAACCGCCACTCAGCAGCCGCCGAGCTGAAATGGACGCGGGTCACCAGCGCACTTCTCTCGGTGCGGGTAGAATGGGCCATAGCTCCCTGCGGGAAGAAAGTAGAGAGCAAACAAACAACCATGAATCTCCCTGTGGGGGGTGTAGATTTATGGGGGAGTAAGGGTATGGAGCTCCATTTGAGGTTTACATTAACAGGTTTGTTAAGGTATGAATCTCCCAGGGGAGTAAGGATATGGATCTCTTTGGGGGGGGTGTAAATTTGCAGGTGGGTAAGGAGACTAATCTCCTTTCAGAGGCGTACGCTTACGGGGGAGCAAGGCTATGATTCTCCTTTTGGGGGCGTACATTTACAGGTGTTCTTTTTGTTTCCCTTGACAACCACCCTAAGAAGGGACTCCACAAAAGATGCCTAATTTTTCGGGTTGTTACGGTTACTGCCAGGAGCTGTTCTGCAAATGAAAGGGAACTGCATCGATGGATCGACTAAGTTCAAAGAACTATTCCACTATTGACCCCGACTTCTTGCCTTGGGGGTCGCTGTTTGAATGACCTCGGATCAACCAGAGGGCCATTCACGGGTCACCACGACTAGGTTTTGCTTCAGAGATATAGCAACGGATATTAGCAAAGACCCTATCGGCTGGTGGGCAGAGTCTCGAGAAATCATAAGTCATGATCCCTTCAACGCAACAAGTTTGTGCGCCTGGGAAGCCGGAGGTCTTGCCATTGACTATCATTCCCGAGGTTAACAAGCCAGTTCTAGTCTGGCAGCAGCTACCCAAACCTCCCCCCCAAAAGGACCTGCTCAACGTGACAGCTATTTGTGCTCTGGATCAGAGCTCCTATAGACTTTAATAACTTTTTAGGGAAAACAAGAAGACCATAGTGAGAAAGCAAAAGTTCAACGACTGGCTGGTCAATCCGCTCGATCGGAAGTGAGCCAACGACCACACGAGATCCAAGGCTTTGGGATTCCTTCCTCGCTTCTCGCTTCGGCGACGCGCTCAGCACTTTGCGCTTCGCGCATCGGTTTCGAAGGGAATCACCCTCCCCTTTGGCTACAAAAACCTAGGTTGACAAGAGGGCCAGGACCAAGAACCCGGTGTTCAGCGGCTGGTGATGGATTCGGTGTGTGAGACGCCTTTTGGGATCCATAAGGGGCCAAAAGGAGATCGGTTCATCATTTTGAAGGCGTGGCCTCCCATGTCCCGCGGCTTAAGCAGACCGATGACCTGGATTGTGTGCGTGTGGAACCTAAGCAGATCTTCAAGTTGCCGGCTTGTTGCTTGCGGTGTTAAAGCTTCTCTGCCATTTGCTGAAGTTAATATGTTATGTCCCCGGGTGGTTTTAAAGGGAATCTATCATTATTGGATTTTTGTGTTTTTTTAGTCAGGGGACTTAAGCAAATGGAGGTTAATTATTGATATCCCCTCAAACCTGTCCAAAACAGGGCTGAACACGAAATGATGCCATGAGCTCGGCAGAAGGGCAAATAAGTATGTTGAACCAACAACAACACAGCCAGACAAAGGGGGGTGAACCCTTCTTGAAATCAACAGCGGAAAATAAGCCAACAAGAAGGGGCAAGGCAAGCTCTAAACCAACTGCAAACAGAGGCAATCCGCGCACTAAGCCAACAGCAAACATGTCCACAGCATTGCAGAAACCAGTAAGAATGGACAAGTCCTGCCTTGTTTGCAACCGAGAAAAACGGCAAGTGCTCTAAAACCAAGCACAGAAATGGGGGCAAGGTCCAAAGGAATCCCCCAGAAAACGACAGTTGCTTGGGCCAGGCCGCGGCGACCCATCTGCTCTGAAGGCAAAGGGGACCTCTGGCCACGTAGCAAAAGAGAACAAAAAACATCCACCTCATGGAACTTGAGACAGGTTCCATGGAGTCCTTTGGAACAGGTTCCGGAGATTCCGACTCGCTCCCGAGTTTCTGGACCCACTTCTTGATGGAATTTGAGGGTTAATGTGTGGAAGTTTTTCCAAATCTACTGAGTCGACTTGGCAGTATAGAAACTTTCGGCCAATCTACTGGATCGGATTCGTTTCCATTTTCCGTGCCATTGGAAGGGTATTCCATTTTTTGAGCCACAGCCGTGTGTGTCAAACCAGACCCCTCCAAAGCCAATTGGATTCTCGGCATGGCACCTCCTAGGCCGCGCCCCGAGCGCGGCGACGCCCAGCGCTTCCGGTCGCGCGGCCCGGGGCGACTTCTCGGATGCCGCGGAGCTGGTGGCGGCATGGCCAGGGGGCTTGGCCGGCAAAACGCTTTGGAGGGGTCCACTGGTTGGACATGCTGTGGGTTCCTAGAATGATGATTCCCCTGTCAATACCAAAACAATGGTTTCCCTATGGTTTCAAAGTTCTGCAGGATTTCGTCCATCCGCAGTGGCTGTGGCTCTAAAAATGCAATACCCAGAATGGCATGCTAAACAGAAACGCAGGACCGAGACCTGCGTAAGGCTAGCTCTTGGCTTTGGAGCCACACATCTTGCTGCTGCCTTGCCACTTGAGTCATATGGAGCCTGTGGGATTCGCTTGCCGAAGGGATCTGAGCCTTTCGACGCACTGTGGGTCTTTCTGATTTGTTTGTGAGCACCCCCCCTTTTTGGTAGGCTTTAAAGGGATACCAAAAGGAAAGTCACTCAAACATTTGTTTTTTCGGGGGGGGGGGGGGCCGCACAAAAAAAAAGAAGAGACACAACCACCGCAACAGTGGTTGGTGGACATAAACCCCCACCTAATTAAATGATGTCGACAAAGGGGTTCCAGTTTAAATTCATGCACATATGGCCAATATGTTCAACAGTTACTGGCCATTTTCAAAAATCAAAGGCGATCCTTTGCTGACGTGAGAACCACAAAAAAGTTCTGGCGATGGAAGGAGCCATGAGGGCCTAAACAATTCGAATGTGGTAGAGTACGATAACACCAAATTTCCTCGTGGTCATGGCAGAATCATCTGCCAATGTTATGGCGACCGGTTCGGGTACCAACATGCGCGGAGGAGTCTGTAAGCCCCTGATCTTCCCCGCAGTTGTTTGTTTTTTCCGCGAGGCCGGGCGCTGTCTGGGAGCGGGTGCTGGAACACTTGCAGGATCCTTGCTTGATCTCAGGACGGCGTGGCGAAAGTTCTGAGCTGAGAACTCAAGGGTGTCTTCCTGGGACTAGGTCCCCCAGTAGTGCCCTTTTACAAACTTTTTTGGTTGGGAGGGTTCCCCTACTAAAATAGACTACAGAAAAAGGGGCACCCGTATTCTAACCTCTCTACTGGAGGACCCAGGTGAGGTAGGGACGCCAAAAGCAAACCAACACTCCGCAGGAATTGGTCCCCTGACAAACATCCAACCGCATGGCGGTTTATGAAATATGCTTAATGGTGGAATGGGAACATCTTTGGCAATCCCGGAGCAAATGATGTCCAACAAAGGCTTCGCAATACCAACCCATGCAAATCACTCCAGGAGCAGCCTGCGCGCTGCTGTGTAGCTGCCAGAGCATGCAGCGAAGCGCTTTGGGGGACGAAAGCCTCTGGGAGATGCCCCCTGCCAAAAAATCGGGGCCAGGGTTCTTGGCCTGCCTGAAGATTGTTTAGTCCTTTACTTCTGTTCGTTTGTATTCTTTGTCTTCTTCTGCTTCGTCTCCTTCGTCTTCTTCTTATTCTTCTGCTTCTTCTACTCCACTTCCACCGGAGAGGCTGCAGCCAAGGAACATCAGCCTAGGAGTGTTGGATGAAGCCGCTTTTCAGCGGACTCTTCTGGGTAGCTTTATTTTGTCCCCTAGGTTTTGGAACACTCCTTTAAACCAAAATGGAGGTTATATAGGGGGTATGTCCAACCATTTAGTCCAAGCGGCTTATGGCCATTTTTGGTTTCGGGCACATTTGTTTGCGTCGCATGACCGGTGAGTGCACCTGCGCCAGAGCCAAATGTTGCATTTAGTTCAGAGCTTGCGGCCACATACCTTCTGCCAAGCCAAGCCTCCTTTTTCAGGCCATGGGGCTAGGTCTCGGCCGCTCGGTTGGTTCGTTTTGGGAGATGTCCACGGACTGCAGGCTAGGCAGCTGGACGGATGGACCGGCCCTGACTCAGGCAGGGGCTTTCTGCCACGTGCCGTTCCCGAGCCGTTCATTCGCAAGCATCTGGCCGAGCGGTCCTGGACTGCCTTACGGCAAAAGAAACATGGTTGTTGTTGGCAAACATTTTACATTTTTGCTTATTGATTATTAGTGGTTGAAATCCCCGCTTAAATGCTAAGACTTAAATTTGTTGCTCCCCTTCCAACGTCCACCAAGGAAATGGGACCGCAATAAAGGTGTAGGTTGCCTCTGGACCACCTGGAAGGCTGTTTTAGTGAACCCCGCCAAAATGGCGCCTTTTCGTTTTTTGTTTTGGTTTCCCTTGAAACATTCCACAAAAGCGGGTATTCCAAGACGGGCCCACCTGCTTTGAGGTCGTAGGTTACAGTCTCGGGGGGGGATCCCTAGCCTGCAGGTGCCGGCGTCACCCTTCCAGAGCTACACCTCCCTGGCGAAGAATCTGCAGCTCTACCGCGTCTGCTGGGAAGCTCTTCGGTTGCAAAAAAAGGACCGGGACGGGAAAATGAGGCATGAAGGATGGCCTGTTTTCGGAGAGACTCATGGGAGAAATGAGAGGAATGGGGGAAGATCTCCAACTCAGATGTTGGATACGGGAATCCTTCTTTTTCTCCCCCGCTTCCTCCACATCGGGCCAGCTAAAGTTCAAAGATCACATTTCCCAGCTCATTTGGAGGAAGGCCTCATGCAGGTGGTTTTCGGATGTATCCTCATGACTGCCCCTGAGATCTTTTGGCAGCACAGCTTTGCCATTGAAAACCTTCAACTGGAGATCTGTTTTTGCTCAAGAGAGAGCAATCCCTCCGAAACACAACCAATTCAAGTCTAATGCAGAGACACCCAACATGTTCTTCAAGCGCCAGTCAATAATGGCGGGCTGTTTTGCACCCAACTTAAAAACGGTGGCGGCGCCTTCAAAAGGCACACGGCTTATCGTTTTGTTGATCCGCCTTGACAGTTCCCCTGCAGAATGGGAGGGGTTGACCTCATTGACCTCCCTATAAACGTGTTAATCAAAAAAGTAAACACTAAAATAAAAGTGAAAGGAGGGTCACGTCTGACGTCAGGTGCACATTGCTTTTTCTCTCCCAAAGCATCTGCAGCCTTTGGGTTTCGTGGCTGAGGCTTGCCAGGGCAGCAAGGCGCCCAAGAGCCCGTGCCTGGGCCCGGAGGCCACGTTCAAAGAGGGCGGTGGTTGGTTGTTGGTTGGGTGTTTTTTGGCTGAGACGAAGGAAAAGACGGGGGCAGTGCAAGTTTCGGACCGGATTTCCTGGAAGTGGATCCATTTTGAGGGTCTACCACGCTTCTTTTAAAGACAAGACACCCCTTTGAACCAGGCCTTTGAAGCAGCGTTTCTAGGGCATGGTTGATGTTTTGTTGGATGTCATGGCCATTCCCAAAAGCCATGGCGCATTTACGACCGACTCTGGCCGGAGAAGGTGTCAGGTACGCACGGACCCATTCCCGGAGCACATGTGCTTCGAAGCGGACGCAGGTTTCGTTCGGTCGGAGCTCACCTCTGTGACGACCGAACACGAACTAACCCCAAAAAGGAGTTCTGGATTGACTCACAGCGCGGCGGTGAATGTATTGGGTCAGAGAGGAACTGGCTTGTTGCGGCCCGAGAAGGAACTTCAAATCCGGTGGTCACCAGTCCCCTTTCAGAAGGATCAACCCCTTGCAGCGACTCGTGGCTGAGGCCTCCCTCACCCAAAACCAGTGCTTGGGTACAGAATCTAGGCCTGCCTGCACGTGTTTGCGCCCGGGGCCTGCGCCCGGGTATTTGCGCGGGAATTGATGTTCAAAGACCAAGCGAGACCGGGGGCTTGCAACCTTGATGTTAAATTCACATATCTACATTCATGTGTGTATATATATATATATATATATGTATGTCTTAAAATCTACAACTAAATTGGCTGGCAATGACCGAGGGAAAAGGCACGGGATGGCTCTCATCAAGGCACACCCCATCGCCCCCATCGCAAGCCGCAGGCTCCGAGAGGTAGCCCATCCATGTCCCCAGAGATCGACAGGCTCGGCCATCGCAATGTGAGCGGGATGTTTCTCGAACTCTGAGGTTGGTGGAGACCCAAGGTTTGCGGCTTTGAAAGGGACACCCAAAGGAGCACCATTTTGGGGTCGGTGGGGACTCATTCTCGGTGGGGACTTTCTGCAATCTGCGTGTGACCCCTACAAGCTGTGCTCATTCAGCACCGGGACACGTTTCACTAGAGAGTAAGTAGCACTGTGCAGCCACTTTGATACAGAATCACGACATGGCTGTGGGTGAAAAATAGGTACCCAAAATTGCACCCTGGTAGATGGAAACAATGGCTGGAACCTGTGGTCCCCTGGTGGTTTAATTTTGACCCACACCCACATGGCGAGTTGACAGAAAGGTCCTCAAACGATTCCGCAAACGCAGGTGGGAAACACCCGCCTCGCCAGATCACAGGTCAATCAACTCCCAACCACTCACAGTCACCCCTTTCTTGGGGAAGACCATTTAGAGGTGACAAAGTTGATGACTCCGCTGCTTGAGGGGACAACGCAAGCTGAAGGAATATGAATCAAGCCAACTTTGGAGTCAGCGAGGAAATGAGCAGAAAAGGCCTGAAACAAAACTGTGGCCTGATCAAGTTGTCAGGGTCCCTTGTTCATTTGCCAGACTACAGGATGATATTGGGCAAGATCATCGAAATGCGGGAGTCACTCACCCGAGTCCAGTGTCATTTGCGGTACAATGAGCACTGTCTGTTGCTATAGTGGTTTGTCGTCCCGCTGCATCGATTGTGCTAGCGTCATCACCATCATCATTGTCGTCGTCGTCGTTGTCATCATCATGATCACCATCACCATCACAATCACCATCACATGTTTTTTCATCATCATCATAATCATGATGATGTTCATTTCATGATGGTCGTCAATATGTTCCTCATTGAGGGAGTCATGACTCATATAGCTTTGCTTTCTCCCAACATTTACCATACATACATACATTTGTATATATAATATATATATATATATATCTGTGAACCCCCCAAAGTACAGGTGAAAAAGCCTCTATTAGTTGGCTGGCTTCACGCACCCCCCAAATTGGTGCAATAATATGTATCCCCCTAAAGTCATATTGGTTCAGATACTCTGCCTTTAGAAGAGTTCCCCCAGCCTCTAGCTGAATTGGAATCGGACCCCAAGAATTGCTCCAGTCCCTTTCGAGAAGTCCCGCAAAGATATCCATGAATGGGTTTCTCGGTTTTGTCGTATTGGGGTCATGCTGGATCCGTTGAAGTGACATCCTCAAATTGCCCTCATGGTGGTTGCAGGCAAACCAGAACCCTCTCAAGATGTACTCACTTTCAGGGCCCCTCCAAATATCCTGGCAGAACATTGGCACCCTGCTACAAAAACAGAGATCCACTGGACGCCCATGTCACCAATGTCCGCCGCGTGAAAAACCTCCGACGGACCTCGGTCTGGCGTCGAATCCCCAGGCGCTCCGCTTCGGTGGAGCTGGGCTTCGAGGTGTCCATGCTGCGCGGCAACGCTTCGCTGGCGGTGGCGGCCTGCCGCCGCTCCAACGAGCTCCGCTTGTTCCAGCGACATGGCCGAGTGGGGCGTCGTGAGGGAGGGCGAGGGGCGCAACTCCACCGGAAAATCGGCGGGTTGGTACTGTTTTGGGTAGAACATCGGTGAGAGATGGGTGGTAATCTATGTGCGGTGGTGTTAAAGTGAAGGGCCTTCTCACTTCCTGAGTTCCGTTTCAGACTTCAGTCACGTCTTGGGGCTGGAACAGTTTGGTGGCAACCAACAAGTTTGCATTTGTTTGGCCGATGCACGCAGGAAGTGAGCCCTTCCAACTCTCGTGCATCGGTGTCCTGTTTGGTTGTTAATGAGAGATGGGTGGTTTTGGAAGTTCCCCTTGTGAGAGATGGAACAAAGGTTCCCTCAAAAACAGACAGCATGTTTTCCTTTGGTCGGTCCCGCTACCCACACAAAGGGAATTTACCCACATCAAGGTGTGCCATCTTCTTGCATTCTGAATGTTTAGGGACCATCTCCGGAAATAACTGGGCTACGGTTTCCTTGTGGCTCCTTCAAATACCGCAGGGTGAATGTAGATGGCACAAATCCCGGTAAATGTTAACAGGTAACGTGGGATGACTGAGCCAACGTGGGGGACTTGTGCATGCATCTGCTTTCACCTGAGCGTAGCCGTCCCCTTTGGGGCCCTTTTTGGTATCCTCGTTGAAAGGCGGCGCTTGTGGCGGCACCAGGGTTCTAAACCAGGGCCAAAAAGGTGAGTGCTATGCATATCGCCCTTTTTTTGGACGGATCACCAAAATGGTAGTTTGCCCTTTTGTTTCCCTTTAAAACGAGAGAAAAGACGTGCCAACTCCAAGAGAAAAGACGAGCCGCCCGTCTTTGCGGCACCGCTTCTCCGAGGAGCCGCGGTTTGGGCCGCCTACCAGCGCTGCGGGTGTCCCGCAACGTGGAGGCCTTTGACATGTTGAACGAGAAGGACGCGCTGGTGGTAGGCGGGCCGGAGCCTCCGTTCGGGTTTTTGGCGGGACCCTCAACTTGACGTACCCCCGAAAAGGGATTCAGAGGAGATTCCTCCAGAAATGAACTAGACAAGCTTGTTGTTTATTTGCGGGGGTCCCATTCCGGGTCCATGTCAATTTGCAGTACTCATTGGTTGTTCTTTCGTTGGCAAAACAGGGACCCTTGAAGCATATAAATTATTCAAGATGCAACACAATGACATACAATGACCACCATGAAACACAAGGCCAAGCATTGCAAACAATGTCCACTTCTGATACATTTGTGGGGTTGCATCCAAGCAGGGCCTCGTTTCGGGCCCCTCGAAAATAGAACACATACAAAGCTATACAAAGCAAGGGCCCCCGGTTTTTCCCAGCTCGAAGCTTGCGTGGTCTTCTGTGTTTTTTGTTCAGCGTCCTTTTGGCGTGAAGCAGAAGTTCCGGTTTCAGGTTCTGGGAGAAGTGTTTTTTCTTTGTTTGAGGGTACCTTTTTTGCTTGGTTTCAAGAGAAGCCAAAAGGAGCCACCATTGCGGTCCAAATCCCTGTGAGTACCAAACGAAATACCAACATGGAAACGCACGGGTATGGGTCAAAAACTAAAGTTTAGTCCTTGGTTCCATTTACCAGGGACCCCATTTTGTGTATCCATTCTTGACCCACACCCAAGTGAAAACACACAACCATAGAAACACAGCCAAGGAAACGTTTCTCACCCTTGTAGGTTTGACTAGGGGCCCTTTTTTAAACAAGAGTATGTAAAGAATTTGCAGTTTGGGAGCGGGATTATGGATTGCAGAAGCTAGATGATTGAAATAATAGGGAGTAAGCTTTAAGGGAAACCTTTCAAGACCATTTTGGTGGTAAATTTGAAAGTTCAGACTTGGTTTGGCCGATCCACTCGATCGGAAGTGGGTTATTTGGTTATTGGGCGCGGGTTCTTGGTTCTGAACTCTATGTCATTCAGGGTAAATACCGATGGACGAAAATCCTCCACGTTGAAATCATAGGCAACCATGGTGGTCGGTTTAGGCGGCGCGGATGGTCAGCTCATGCTGCACGCGGTGAGCGACCCCAAGAACTGCCAGCGCTTGGCGCGGCTGGAAGTGGCCGACCGAAATCGCCGCGCGGCGGAAACCGCGCGGACGAGATGTTTGCTTCCCCTGTGGTGCCCGCTCAGTTGCCCAGTAGTGGCGCCCGTTTTTTCCTTTTTTTGGGCAAGGGTGTCCGTTTAAAGTCAACCAACCAAAAAAGGATGCCCTTTTTTCCCCCATGGCCACTGGGCATTTGAGGGTGAGTATCCGGGAACCCGTGGAAAAACAACATGGCTTTCGATTTTGGGGTCATCAACTCACTCCCTGAGTTCCTGGACCTTGTACTTTTGGGGAAGACCTTTTCGGTGGGAAAGGCTGGACTTTCTTGGCCAACGGGAAGTGAGTTCTGAGCCGTCACCGTTTGGGCCAAGCGGAGATATCTTTTGGGAAATTACTTGGAGAAGGAAGCTGCGAGCAATGTGGCGAACCCAGTTCCGATGGGGAAAATTCTGGTGACTCTCCATGGCTGGTGCTCAGAGGTGGCCCTCGCGAGCAGTTCCACGGCTCATGATGCACGTGCACTTGGTCACTCATTTCTGTTTTTGGAATTGCTGCAATATAGCGCAGAAGGAATGACCATTTGGGGATGGTGAAGTGTTGCAATGGCAACCCAGGATATTGTACATACATATACACATGTGTGTTAATATGTCTACGCATATTACGCACGGCGGGGGGGGGGGGGGGAATGTCCCACCGGAGAGAATCCGCATCACGTTTGGAGGGAACACTCAGACTAAAAACGAAAGCACTAGTTTGGGTGTAATGTTCAGGTGAAAAAGCCACGAGCCCCTGTCACTGTTGCACTGAGTCCTGGCTCCCTAAATGAAAGAAACCACCCGGTGAGCCAATGCTTCATCAATAAAGTTGTGAATGAGGGCAATGTTCTGTTGGAGGTATGGCTGGTATGCAGCCCTCCATGCCCCAAAGACCACCGTGAGGAGATTCGGAGATGGCCCGCTGTGATGCCAGACGCCGAAGTAGTCCAAAGAATGTGTGGGTATCAGATGGTACGAGTTTTGCAGGGAAATTATACACCACGTATGCAACATACGGTTTCTCGATTCCCTCATGTTTGTTTCCCTTTGGATTGGGGCTTTAAACTTCAAATCAGAAGGGTGTGGATCAATTGCGGTTTTCGGAAGTTTGGTGGTTATACGCCACTGGCAGAAGGGGCAGAAATCCTCATGTAAAAGGGGTTGCCAGCAAACAATGTACAACCCCTTTTGGGGTCGTGGCTGTGGCCTTGAAAGGTCCAAAACAGGAGCATGGTGACAACTCCCAGCATATGAGCAGCTGCCAAGATTCCTGGCAGTCAACTGTCATGGCAGGCAACTGTCATGTGCTATTCGTCCTAGTTTCTTGTGACCATACTACATCCTGGTGATTGAGCATTGTTTGCCGTTGGATGTAGCTATAGGCTGGAATTCTGTGAGTTCTTGCGGAGTCTCTACGTCACAGGTGTTTCCAGTTTTGTTACAATGTTTCTGTGTATGATTGATTGCTGGCTTGCTTGCCTGCGTGCATGCTGGGTTGGTTGGTTGGTTGGTTGGTTGGTTGGTTGGTTGGTTGGTTGGTTGGTTGGTTGGTTGGTTGGTTGGTGGGTTGGTGGGTTGGTTGGTTGGTTGGTTGGTTGGTTGGTGGTTGGTTGGTTGGTTGGTTGGTTGGTTGGTTGGTTGGTTGGTTGGTTGGTTGGTTGGTTGGTTGGTTGGTTGGTTGGTTGGTTGGTTGGTTGGTTGGTTGGTTGGTTGTTGGGTTGTCTGGTTGGTTGGTTGCTTAGTTTGTTGCCCCCGATGGCGCAGCATCATATTGTGGATGGACAGGATCCTGCACCGTCTGAAAAATCATGATAGCCTAGGACTCCTGACACAAGCCACTAACCGGTGCCTGGCCTGGGTTATGTAGGTGGGACAACCAAAACGAACGGTTTTTGTTGAGAAGAACCCAACAATTCACGCATCGCATCGTTTTTTTCTCCTCGAGGCGATGCTTTGGGCGGCTCCTGCCCGACCTTCGCGGGGCTCCACTTTCTGCACGCAGGCTCTGCACGCGCGTGGCAGTCGAAGCTTTGCGAGAGCTTGGCGGAAGGTTTACGCGTGAAACGAAGAGGGAATCGCACCAGCAAGAACAAAAAGCAGCACGCAAAATGAAAGGGGAGTCCCTTTTGCAAAAACCCTTCCTCGGGTAAACAAAAAGAACGAAAGCGCAAAGGGAAGGTTTTGCTTAAACCCTTTTTCGAAAAGAACTTTGTTTTCTCGAAAACAATACGTTAAACAAACAAAAGCGGCAAAGCGGCACAACCCCAACTCCATCTTGCCAGGCTCGCAGGTGGTAGTGGCCGCCCGCAGCCAGAGCCGAGCCCAGCTTCTGGACGTAGCGCTTCGGCATTGTCGAAAATTTCCGCGGGGCCGGTGGCAGAGTTGCCCGTTTCTCACGCCTTGAGTTCCTGGACTTGGTACTTTTTGGGAATACTTTTCTGGACTTGGTACTTTTTGGTAATACTTTTCTGGACTTTGTACTTTTTAGTAGTACTTCTCTGGACTCTGTACTTGTTGGTAATATTTGTCCGGACTTTGTACTTTTTGGTAATACTTTTCTGGACTTTGTTCTTTTTGATTGTACTTTTCTGGACTTGGTTCTTTTTGGTAATACTTTTCTGGACTCTGTACTTGTTGGTACTGTTTTTCTGGACTCTGTACTTTTCGGTAATACTTTTTCTGGACTTGGTACTTTTTGGTAATACTTTGCTGGACTCTGTACTTGTTTGTGGTACTTTTCTGAACTTTGTGCTTTTTGGTAATACTGTTCTGGACTTTGTACTTTTTGGTGGTACTTTTCTGGACTGTACTGTTTGGTAATACTTTTCTGGACTTTGTACTTTTTGGTAATACTTTTCTGGACTCTGTACTTTTTGGTAATACTTTTCTGGACTTTGTACTTGTTGGTTGTACTTCTCTGGACTCTGTGCTTGTTGGTAATATTTGTCCGGACTTTGTACTTTTTGGTAATACTTTTCTGGACTTTGTTCTTTTTGATTGTACTTCTTTGGACTTTGTTCTTTTTGGTAATACTTTTCTGGACTCTGTACTTGTTGGTAATACTTTTCTGGACTCTGTACTTTTCGGTAGTATTTTTTCTGGACTTGGTACTTTTTGGTAATGCTTTTTGTTGACAACCGAAAAGGTTTGGGCTCTTTGTGGCCAGTACACTCAGGAAGAGAGTATACGTCCCTTTACTTTCAACATCACGGTAATGGGCCACTTTGAGATGCGTGTCCTCGTGTCCTTTTCTCACTCCCTGAATTCGTGGACTTTGTACTTTTTGGAGCTGGACCATTTTTGTGGCATTCAACAAGTTTGGACCTTCTTGTTTGGCCAGTCCACTCAGGAAGCCAGTATATGTCCCTTTGCTCGAAAGCATCATGTATTGAGCCACTTTTGGATGAGTGTCCGTTTTGCAAGTTCACCCTGCTTCTTTGTGTTGGTATTAGACAATTTCAACTATTGGGTGGTTTCTGGTCGGCTTTCAAGTGGTCGGGAGCGGCTCCGGACGGGGTTAGGGTCCGAAATCTATCAAGTCGCCAGTGAGTGAAGGAGATCAGGGGGCCTGCTCATTCGAGAAAAACCTAGTTCCCGAAACCATATGTGTATGGTGAAATTTGTTTAAGGGCAGGAACTCCGAACAGTTATTGAGGTCCCCCTAAGGTGCCAAAGTACACATAACTTGAACGTGTAGATTGTACATATATATATATATATACATATACATACACATTATCCTTTGAATTGCGGGAAGAGGATCCTTGTGTGAATGTTGCTTCGTTTTTCCTCTTGGCCAGCACCAGCACAGCTCCGAAGATTCAATGGCTGCTTGAGTGTTTTCCTTGACAGCACCCACAAAACGACATGGCCACATGTGGGCACGAGTTTTCTTTGGAGGACTTCCGTCCGGGCTCAGAGGCAGTGCCACTTTGGCATTCGAATTCGAATTCCATAGATTCGTCGGGGGTGTTCATCTCCGGCCTTCCTTTGCCGGGTGCCAGTCTTCGGGCGCTACTTCTTGGAAGGGAAGCGAAGGGAAAGCCAAAATTTCGGCGTTTTCCATTTGGATAACTCTGGGATCGCTCTTTGTTGTTTGCGTTTCAAGGTTTGCTGAATATGGATCAGTATCCAGCTTGTAATATCTGTTCAGATGTCTGGGTTTTTTAATGGGGCGGCATCAAGCAGGTTTAGCTTTGGCTGCGGGAAAGAGAAGGTACACTTCTAGGGGTAACTTCACCATTCTTTCAAGGGATCCTTCTTTCTGGACCACTAAAAACCCTGGGGAAATGGCTATCGGTTTTTGAAAAGAACGATGGCTGAAAAGAGTGGACAAGGAATCAACCCCTAGAAGACTCCCTTTCGGCTCATCGAGATCGAGGCCACGGCGAGCGAAGTCAGCCGCTGCAATACGGGCGGGCCACTACTGCAGTGTGAGCTGCTGGGGAATGAGGCGTTACTATTTGACGCTGCTTGGACCTGATTGATGTGGGTGTGTCTTTATTTTTTGAGGGTAATTACTCCTTGTGAGGATGGCTTAAAAGGGAAAGCAATGGGGAAACTACTCTTTGGGGGGGGGGGGGTGTCCCCGTGAGCACTCAGAACCTAAGGGCCAAGTAGGTTCTACTTGTTTGCTCGGGGTAAGGCCTATATAAACCCTACCCATATTGTGCTTGTCACAGCTGAGGGGTGGTGCTCGGACATACATACATACATACATACAATGAGTTTTGGGCGCTCCTCGTGTGGATTTATCTACGGGGCCTTCAAAATTGGCAGTTTTCCGTTGTTTACCTTTGGCGCTGTTGTTTTCCTCTGGTGTTTTTCATGGTTTCAGAGTAGTGCTCCTTTGTTTTCTCTGTGATTTGTGTGTGTGTGTGTTGGTACTGTTTGTTTTTGGCTTGCCTTCGTTCCTGGCGCTTTCCTTTGGAGTTCCTTGTGCTTCTTCTCTCATTGCTCTCCTGTTTGCCTGCGTGTGTTCCATTGTCCTGCTCGTTTCCAGTGCCTTTGTTCCTGCATTGTTACGCTAATGTCTTTCCTTTTGATTTCATGTTATTTTGCTGGTGGTATGCTGTGTGCGTCTCCTGTTCCTTGCCTTTGGTTGTCTAGTGTTTGTCCTCTGGGGTTCATTGTTTGCCCATTTTCTACCACTGCTTTCCTGTGTGATTGTTTCTTGCTTTTGACCTTTGCGTTCCTGTGCTTTTCCCGTCTTCTTCCTGTGTCTTGCTTTTGGTGCCCGGTGTTGTTCTTGATTTGTTTCTTAGGGTTGCATCTGTTTTGTTGTGCTTGCTGTGGTTGCCCCTGGGTGTTCCTTTCATCCAGACCGAAAAGGGCATTCCACCCCAGCGATCGCCCCCGACGTGACGGGAAAAGACATATTGGGATGGCTGACGATGGCTGACGATGGCTGACGTATAAAGTGTGGATTCGTCTTTCTTCACTTCAAAAATGCTTTTTGACGCGTAGATGCGGGAACTCTTAGACCGCCACATGTTTGCATACCTCCAACGGCCCAGCATATGTGTCTGTCTTGTCCTTCAAAGCGGTGGCCTTGTGGCCCTTGCAGACCAACAGCGTAAGATTGCCCAGTTGCCAAGAATGATCAGTGGTGCTAGCCAGTATACACGCGCAATCACACATGTATGCTATGCATACCACGAGCTGAATAACTACACACCTTGCCATCCTAGGATCTTGAACTAGTGGACCCCACCTCATTCTAACGATTTCGGCCCTGATATGGTGGGTTGAACCAGTGGACGCATGTGTTTGTTCCTTGGCCCCTTGGCCTAACTTTCATGATTGGCAGCACCTGCAAGAAGTTGGAGGCGCAAACAGTCACCAGATAAAGAAGACCTCCAATTAGATATCATCTTGGGCTACTCCCTTCCTGAGTTCCTGGACTTGAAGTTTTTGGGCAGGAACCTTTTAGTGTGAATAAGACAAACATGATTTGTTTGGCATATCCGCTCAGGAAGTGGAAGTGAGGCTAGCTCGATCAGCCGTCGCCTCGGCCCAGGCCAATGGCACGGTAAAGCTTTGGGACTTGCGGACGAAGAGTCCGGTGACGCAGTTCCGGTGCCCCTCGCCCGGAAGGACTCCCTCGCTCAGCGTGAACGCGGCTCGGCCCGGCCAAACGAGCCGAATCCGCGTGCCTTTGGGAGCTGGGAGAATGGGAATGGGACGTTTGTTCCTGCATGGGCTTCGGGAACCCAACAGAAAACCACCTGGGGTCGGGACCCAATTTGGAGAAGTGACACAGGCGCCCTCCAAACCAAGCAGCGGTTTGGCGACTTTGGCCCGGTGGCCACCTGCCACGAGGCCCCCCCCCGTGCTCGAAAGGGGTAAGAGCGATGGGCGCCTTTCGTGAGGGAACAACGGGCAACTGTTCAAAGCGGCCCCGAGTTTGAAGGATCCTATTGCCGTCTGTCTTTCGTGAAATCCACGAAGGGGAGGAAGCTGAATATGGACGCTTAGGGAGTGCAAGCATGATAACTTTGAACAGTGCAAGCAAGAAGAACTACCAACAGTACAAGCAAGGCTGTTTTCTTCAAGACGCCTGGTGGACTGCATTGACACGGCTGCACAGGGTCGCTATCTAGGACCAAAATAATAAACCAAACAAGGTCCTAAACCATGTGGGCCCTAAGGCAAAACCTTCGCCCCAAACCTCAACCCTAAACCCTAATCAAGAATAGGTCCTAAACCCGAAACCATGTTGGCCCCAAACCAAAAGCTTAACTAAACCGTGTTGACCTCAAACCAGACCCTTGCCCCAAACCTAAACCCTAAACCCCAATCAAGGATAGGTCCTAAACCCGAAACCATGTTGACCCCAAAACAAAACCTCAACACTAAACCGTGTTGACCTCAAGCCAAACCTCAGCCCTAAACCGCGTTGACCCTAAGCCAAAATCTAAACCCCAAAAGAACGCGGTGTTCTTATCAGTTTCGTAGCGGGTGTTTGGTCCTAGGTGCGAGAGTGATTGGACGTCTAGGTGCGTGAGTGATTTTGGCTTTGGTCAGGTGCGCAAGTGATTGCGGTCCCAGAGAGGGCTCCAACTGGTTTTGACATGCATATAGCGCTTCTTTGGTGGCAGTTAGGGAAGCCTACGCAAATGTCTACCATTCCCAAAACAGTTTGGCTTCTCCCTGTTTGAACAGTTTTCCCAGTCGGTTTTGGACCCTACCAATTTTTAACCCTGGACTGACACGCCTTCAAATCTTGTTCAGTTACTCGGCCGATACAGACTCCACAATCATCAACCTGCTCCGCTCCAGGCATTCCTCTGACAGTCAACCACGTTTGCATGACTTGCCCTGGGGATTTGGGCTTCTCATGCCGTACTGCAGTGACCGCAATTGACGCGTCACACATGGCCAACTTGTGTGTGTAAGGGCCAGCGCAGGCTTGTGAAATCCAAACGAAGCAGACCCAGAACGTTTCAGTCTTCAGATTTGTCCCGGTTGCTTCGGGTATTGTTTTCCTTGCCACTCACGCAGGGAAACTGGACTCTTCTTCTACGAGGATAGTTGTATTTGCATGGGGAATCGAGCACGGAAAGATAACTTCCCAGATCTTGAAGTCAAGACTTTCGGGCGACTCCTATCTTTTACGGAATTTCATGAGCTCTGCAATTCATCGTCACGCTGCCAGCACTTGCCAACGCGTTGAGCCCTTGAGAGCTGCCCAATCAGAAGTCTAGGAGCGTTTTTCGTTTAATGCTACGGCTTCCGAGAGCTGAAACGTGTCTTTTTCAGTAGGACGAGCATCGAGCGCTGTTTAATGTACAGGGGATTGCCCTGCAGTCCTGTTCAATTTTGGTTTGGTGGCTTCTTTGTTTGGTTGGGTGGATGGGTGTTTGATTGTCTTTTGTTGTTCGGCTACTTGACTCACTTGTTGCTTTAAAGAGCTTAGTTGCTGTGTTGCTTGTTGCTGATGTTTGTTTTCTTCGGCAGACTTGGCAGATTTGTGTTTTTCTTCAGAGTACATGTTCTTTTGGGCTTTTTTGTTTTAGTGCTATATGCTGTTTATGTTTGATTTGGCTGCTGTTGCCTTGGCGATTCTCAGTCTCCTTAGGTTTTCAAGTTGGTTGGTTTAATGGTTGGGTCTCCATTTAACCCACTAACAGTAGTTCACTTCCCCCCGAAAAGTTTAAAAACGGACCGCCCAGTGGCACGGTTTTTGGGCGCGCGTCGCTGCGTGTGGCCGAGGTGGGCTCGCCGGCCTGCGCCATTCTCAGCACCTCTCTGCACTGGCTGGACCTCAGAGCCGGGCACGCCACGGAGGCAAGCCGGATGCCTCCAGCCCCAATCCCCTCTGACTGGAGGCCGTATGACTAGGTCCCCCAAGGTTCTCGCCATGAGGGTTCCCCTTTGTGGCACAGGCAATGGCCTTTGGAGCTTGCAGAGAGAGAGAGGGTTCCGCTACTAGACTACAGAGAAAAATGGGTAGCCTCATTCCAACCTCTCTACTGGAGGACCTAGACGAAGAAACTTAGGTTTTTTGGCCAACCACTTGAATTGGCACTATCCCTCTAAGCTGTGCATATTGATGTCAAGAGCTCAGACGCGCACAAGCCCTTTTAACCTCAGTCGCTCGCCCCTTCTATTTGCTCATAGGAGGGAGGCCAGTTTGCACACTGAGACCACCGGGCCACCGACAGAAATGAAACGTTTGCATCTGCACAAGATGAGAACCAACGGAGTCAGCCAATGATGGGAGGGGCTACACACACACACACACCATTTTCTGGGAATTATTTGTTGTTTTCCAGGTTTTCAGGCAATTGTGAAGAGTGCATCTTCTCTTGTGGCACAAGCAAAGGGAAAACAACTTTGAAATTGAGGACGGTGATCTTCACTTCAGCCCCAAGCCGCTTATGGTAAACCTTTTGCAAGGCCCGATTGGAGCCAGCATGAACACCATGATGACTGTCAAAATATTGGTCCATGGAGATTGGCTTTGAATCTGTCTTGGCTGGTTCCAGAAACAGGGGATCCTCTTCTTCTGTGCCCTTTGTCCGGCCATTTCCACAACAAGTTCTCCGTTGAAATGCACAACATGTAGGTGCCCGCAAAAAACAGGCTTCTCTGCCTTCAAGTCAAGTTTCGCCCTGGCGGTTGGTTTCCTTTGGTTTCCAAGTCGCTGGAAAAAGTGATAGATTGGAGACATGTGTTGACTGTATTTTTTGGATGCCTTGGGTGTCGCTTAAAGGGATCTTGCTCAGAGGACCCCACATTTTGACAACCTGCAGTTGTTGATTTAACGGAGCAAGGGTTCATGGGGTGGTAAAAACTTGAGGGCAACGAATAGCAACCTGCTTGATGAACTAACCAACCCCGCTCTGTGCAACTCGGAGTCTGGCAGCATCCCTTCGGCGTAGGCCCGTCCGGCGGAGCAGTGGCCAGGCATCTTCCAAGAGGACGGGGAGGGGGGCGGTGGAAATCCCGGCCATGGCTGCGGAAAACGAGGTTGCCCCAAGTGGATGCTCAACCCACTTTGGTCACGGCCATGGTAAAGGACGTTACTCACCCTAAGTAGATCCATTGTTACAACCTGCTAGGTGGGGGGGCTTACAGCCATGGCGAACTGGTGGGATAAACTATGGTGCCTTTACCTTCGTCTCCAGACTCTGACAGGGGGCTGAATTAAGATGTGGGGTGGGTCAAACGTCACGTTTGGGTTGCAATGCTCGAAGGAGTCGCCTTTTGATGCGCTGATACTGATGTTTACGGAACCATGCAAAATCCACCGCCCTTTGCAAAGCTCACTCAGCATTTGGGGCGGGTGTACGTTTGTGTGCAAGAGTAGTTTCGGGACAACGTATTCTCGCGGTGATTGAATGGAAAACCAAAAACAAACTACCCGTGCCGCTCCACTATTTTGGTTTGACGAGGAAACCGAAGGGAACTCCAAAGAGAATCCAAAGGGAAATCCAGAGAAGGAAACCAAAGGAAATCCACTAAAAAAACCAACCGGACATATGGAGGGCAACCAAACAGAAACCAAAGGGAAGCCAAACGGAAGCCAAACGGAAGCCAAAAATTTCCGCCCTTTGGGACGCAGGCCTATCCTGGCCGCCTGGTCATGGCCATCCGCGGCCTTGTGGCTGCCTGGTTCGACGGGCCCGCGCCCGTCGCTTGCACCTTGGAGCTGAGCCGTTGGGGCCGGGGATTCCCCAGCCCTTGGGTTGGATCTTTAGACCTTGACATTTTCTTTGGGAGATCAAATTGGGTTTTCCACTCAAACTGTTAAACTTTTTGCAGGGTCAACAGCAACCAAGGCTTAAACAAATGGTGTGCTTGTGGTTGCCATTTGAACCCGGTCCCCTCCAAGATTGCGTGGGGTGGACTAGATGATGCAGAAGTTCTCAAGTTCTGAAGATCTGTGAAGCGTAGAGTTGGGCCGAGAAAATTCTGGAGTTTCCACTGCAGATTCACATTGGAACCTGAAATCAACGAATTGTTTTAATAGGAAGGCCAACTTGGGGTTTTATAAGAACCGTTGGGTTGTCAGTGTGCTTATACAAACCATCGGGTTGTTAATATGTATATATATATATAACCACACATTGTCTTATTTTTGCAAAACCAAACTTTGCGAATTGGGCCTTCACAAACACAAAACAAGAAAACAGAAGGAAAGCCAGCCATTTTGACATCCAGCTGGCACGTTGAGGCTGGTTCGGCGCTGGCCCTGCCTTCGTGCCGATCGGTGCCGACTACGGCAACGCGGCGGTGACTGCGGCGGCACTGCCCCTGGGCGGAGGCCTCCGCAGGAAGCTTCGTGGATCTTGCGATCCGTGCGAGAGATGTTGACCCAGGATTAAAAAAGCCCAGTTTATTATTTGGGGGGTGTTCCCCTCCAAAGTGATAAATCCCCACTAAAAGGGGACACCCCCCTACTAATCAACCAGGGGTTTATTAATAGGGGGTTAACACTAGGCAGGGCATGAGAAATGGAACTGAGCAAACCATGCGGGATCCCTTCTTTGGTGCATTTTGCCAAGGGATGTTGGGACTTTAACTTTCTGCCAACTAATGGGTTTCCATTCAACCACTAAAAGTTAAACTTTTAGCAGGGGAGCAGAAAGCAACCGAGCCAGGTTCGTTCTCTCATTCCCTACTGAGCACCAGCAAGTGATGGCCAATTCTATACGAGCTCGATCGCGGGTAGACGGAGCGGTTCATGACAAAGGTCCTTGACTATTCTGCATTCAGGTTTTGGACATAGTGTAACACTCGCAGATTAATACGGTGGCCCCTAATGGGTGTTAAAATTGAAAGGAATCAAGGGACACCCCGCAACTTCAACCATGGTTTGCGGTTGGTGTACTTGCAAATCTTGCAATATTTGGGGCAGCCAACGTATTTCCCGTTTTGAAATGGTGGCTTGAGCATCACCACTTTGGGTGGGATTGTTTCCCTTTGTTGCGCGCCAGATAATTCCCATTCATTCCCTTGCGCAAAGTCCATTCTCGGGCCTTGCTATGTCCCTTTGAGCATCACCATGTTGAGGTTTTGGAGTTCTGAAGTTCCATTTACCGTATCTATTGCCCCCCCCCCTTTCTGCGAGGCTCAGAAAACCCTGGCTTGGGAAAGGAAACCAAAGTTCATTCTTGAGGATCCATGGCCTATTTGGAAGCTCTCCGGTTGGCTGGTCTCACAAGGCTGTTACCAGAGCTTCGGCAGCATTTTGGGTGAGCCCAGTTGGGTTGAGTCCCTTTTCTGTTCAACATGCAGGTGTGACAAGTTTGTAAGGGACACCATTTTGGGGTGTTGTAAGAAACGGCAGCCACCTTCTTTTATTGTTGTGGGGGTTCCCCTATAGATACACGGGTGCCGTTTGCCCTTTGCTTGGGTTTTGCGCTTCACTAATTTGATTTTTCTACGTTGAGAGCGCGAGGCCTAAAGCTTGGATTTGTCCGAGCCCTTGGTGGGGCAAGCCAGGCCCCAACAACCAAAATAGTTGGTGTCCTTTTAGTTTCCCTTCAAACCAGCCCTAAAAGTGCATCATTGAGTATCCTTAGAACGAGATACACTCATATGGGATGGTCATAGCCCTCTCAATGTCACGCAAGGCTGTAGCCAAAAAGAGTATTGATAGACAAACGAAGAAGGGATTGGCACTTTTCCTCCAATGGTTTAGGCGACGCATAAAATTCAGGGACAGAGGCAAAAGGTTGCCCAACCCTCCTTGTAAGAAAAGCATGCTAGGCGACCAGGTCAGGAACACTTGATTTTGGTGTTCCTGAACAGGCTTTGTTTGCAACTCAACGGATATGTTGGAGTCGCAGGCGCGCCACCTTTTGCCGTGGCGCTGGCAAGGCCGGGTTGGACAACGACTGTGATCTCGAAAAAGGATATCGCTTGCAACCGCACACACGTTTTTTTCCAGGGAGTCCAAACAATCAGCCCAGCTGTTGCTTCCTTGCGAACTATAGCAGTGGCTTGGCCTTTGAGCCCAATGGTTGCCCGCAGCTGCGCAAGGCTTGGTCGCGCGTCACTCGGCTCCAAAGATGTTAGTGTTCACTGTTAGCTTCCCCTTTGGCATCTCAGAAAGTATTGGGATTTTTTACCGTTGCCTAAGCACGAGTCTGAGCAAACGGTTGGCGTACCCTGGGCTTGGGCCACGTGTTCGTGGCCCAAATTGCGGCCATGTTTCTCTCGTGCGAAGCAGCCTGCGGGCAAAGGCTATTTGTATGGACTACGGTCTATGATTCCGTGGCCATTTAGGGCCCCTTTGGCTATATGATATACGCATAAAAGGTAGGTTCCTAATCAGGGCTATATATTTCTATACCTGTGCATGTCTATATTCTGGATTCATGCAGTCAGCCTTTAAGTACAGGTTTGCACGTAAGCTGAGCGAGGAATGGTCAATGCAAAACCCCGCTTGCAACGCTGTGAGACTATTAGCCATGTAGCCGACTTGAACCCTTGGGGTTGCTTCAGAATTCACCCGCTTTGAAGCTGGCCCTAGCTGCAGCGAAGTGGTTGATGGCTTCAAGCTTCTCCTCGATATTTGTCGAACTTGAGGCAGCAGGCTGAGTTCAAGCCGCTGTGTATCAGCCAGAAGCCCCTGCTTCACTTAGTCACCCAAAGGCGACCGACCTTTCAAGACCTTTCGGTATCCGCTTTTGGCAATGTTCAGTTGTGAACCGTTCATTTCCGGGTCCTTCAGACATGACCGTAACCCAGTGCTGTTTAGTGCCTAAGTGTTTCTCCCCATATGTTTGCTGCTGTGAAGTCGCTAGTTTGGTAAGGGGATCACCTCTTGAAACAGGCAAGAACTTGCCAAGGGTTACTTCAAGGAGGTTACTTTGGCCGCCCTGTTGAACATCACATTTCCAGTGGAGGATGCCCTTGTGAATCTAGCGATTTTGAGCTGTATCTTCTGTGGATCCCTCCTGCCCGGGGCCCAATTGCTTGGATCCGGTCAGGCCAAGCCGTCGACGGCGCAGGCGGGCGAAGCGATATGCTCAGAGCGACCGAGGCGTTTGGACACAAAGGGGTGGCCAAATCTCTTTTGGGGTTGCGGGTTTCTCCCAAATTTGTTTTGTCCTTCCGGTTTGCGATTGTAATCGGCCAAGAGAAGGTTTCCAAACAGTTGACCCCTATTTGAGCATGTAGGCACATGGGCAAGCTAGACGCTAAGATGGGGAAGCTGTAAGAAAGACTGGGGAAACGGCATGATAGGCATTGCAAATCAAGTCGGTGCATTGTATTTGCAATCCTGGGGGTCCCTTTTCTATCCTGGTAAACAGAATCTTTAGCATCGTTCCCAGACTTCTCAGCCACACGTTGATTGACATGTAATTGCGGGCGATTGTTATGGCCTCATCGATTCCAATGGAAACGATTTGTCGGGACTGTGTGTTTGATCATATTGCGTCATGTCAGCGTGGGCGGATGTGTGCTTGCTTGCTTGCTTGCCTGCCTGCCTGCCTGCCTGCCTGCCTGCCTGCCTGCTTGCTTGCTTGCTTCCTTGCTTGCTTGCTTGCTTGCTTGCTTGCTCGCTTGGGAGTGTTGTTCATTGCTGTTGTCATATTACTGTATATTCCTTTGTTATCTGTATGCCTTACTTGCTTGATTGCTTGCTTGGTTGATTGGTCGTTTGTGATTGTGGATTATGAACTTGCTGTTTGTTTGTCCGTCCATTTGTCTGCCTGTTTGGTTGCTTGTCTGTATGTCTGTACGTGTGTCTGCTTGTTTGTTCGTAAAGGATGTGTGTGTGTGTGTATGTGTGTATGTGGGTCTCAGTTGTTGAGTGCTCCCCTTGTTTCCCTTCTTTTTTCAGACATGTGAAGTATGTGGTGCTTCTGCAAAGGATTGAATACAGTTGTCATATCTTGGAAGGTACGCTCGGTCCATGTTTGGTTGCTGGTTTGGACTGTCGTCCCAAATGATGGTCAGGAGCTTTGAGAAAGCCGACATGTCCGGGCGGTGCACAGTTCCAACTTGGCAAGCGAATAACACGCTTGCGATTAAAAACGTCAAGCACCAGGTACCATCCACCCCCGTAAAACGTGCTTCCAGCCGTTGCCGAGCCAAGCGGGAAGAGCTTGGACTGCAATAAACACTCTGCTCCACGCGCGCTTTTTACGATCCTCAATTTGAGCTTGTGTCGCTGGAAGGGGCCAAGTCCCCAAGAGTTTGGTTAGCGCCTGGCTTTGCAGAACCCCCCGCCCCCTTCTAGAGCTTCCGCCCATAGCAAGGACTGCAGCGGATGCAGGACACCGCAACACGCGCGCTGGGAACACATGAGCCGGAGCTATGCTGGCGCGGGTTGGCAAGCCTGCCCTGCAGTCGGCCCCAGCGACGCGGCAAGCAGGGAGTCGCTTAATGCATACGAGAATCCAGTGCGCCCAGGATGGACGATGCTTGTTCGACTGCCTGACCATAGTGCAACGCGGCCACCCCACATGATCCAAGAAGATGAGCTGCGCGGAGAAGAAATGGGTGCAGGCATTTGTCAGCAGACCTCACTCCGCGTGCCTGAAACAGCCTGATAGCTGCAAGGGTTCCGAGGCCCCAACGGTCTTTCTTTTTCGTCCGCATGTTTGCATTGCTTCTTTGCAGTCCGCGTTTTGCGTGGGCCATATCAGAGGCCAATCCAGACACCCATCGACACCCAACATCTCAGGAAGTCTGCCCCGCGCTGAGCGAATTAGGGCTGCCGCTGCCATATGTACGCACGTCAAAGGCGACAATGTCTACGAAGATGGCCTGACACCACTCCTGGAAGCTGGATGCTACACGCGCGTCAGTGCCCCGGCGCTTGTTGGCAACGCGCGCGATCGACGGAAAGATGGCTTCCTGAGCTTTGGCAAGGCTGGATGCCACTTGGTGCGCCATCGCAAGAATAGATACCGCTACAAGCCGGGTATTGGAGATCCGGGAATCCCGCAAATGCCACGCTAGTCCCGGGCTTTCTTTTGCGGCAGCATGCTCGTGAAGGAGGGGTGAGGGATGGTTCGGTTCCTACGGCTGCCGCGATTCCCGGCTAGGTTTCTCTCCGTCCTGCGATGAGTCACATGGCTGGTGCGCCAAAGCGACCAAACGCGCCAGGCGCAGCAATTAACCTCCCGAAGCCGTGCTTGCTCTCGCCCTCCCAAAGCCAAAAACCTTTTCTTTCCTGGCCACTGAACATCTGGTTGATTTTTTGGTTTGTTTGTTAATTACGTGGTATGTTTTGATTGCTTTTTGTTGGTTTGTGTCAGTTTGATTGTTTGCTTGCTTGCTTGCTTGTTTGTTTGTTTGTTTGTACGCTGGCTTGCCTTGCTTGCTTGCTTGCTGGGCTTGGCTTTGCTTGTCCTGCTTGCTTGCTTGTTTCGTTATTTCGGTGTTTTTGGCTTCCTCGTTTGTTAGTTTGTTGGTTGGTTGTGTTGGTTGTGTTTGTTGTGTCTGTTGTGTTTGTTGTGTTTGTTGTGTTTGTTGTCTTCGCTATGTGTGTTGCGTGGATGACTGTTGTGTGTGGTTTGGTTTGGTTTGTGTGTTTGTGTGGTTGGATGATTCGGCTGGCTGGCTGGCTGGCTGCCTGGCTGGCCGCTTGCTTGCTTGCTTGCTTGCTTGCCTGCTTGCCTGCCTGCCTGCCTGCCTGCCTGCCCGCCTGCCCGCCTGCCTGCCTGCCTGCGTGGCTTGCTTGCTTGCTCGCTCGCTTGCTTGCTTGCTTACACATGAGAGTCGTCCGAAAGGTCGTTGTATTCAGCTATGAAGGGGAAGACCTTTTGGTCTTAGCGTTGGCCTCCGCGAAAGTTTTTGTGGCTTGCAAACAGGAAGCTGGAGTGATGAACCATGTGTATTTACCGGCAGTGCGCGCGGAATGCCCGCAGACTAAGGTTGGTCGGAAAATGCGTAGTCTGAGGGTCGTAGCAAGAATACGCCGCTGCAACAGCAACCCCCCAGCCAGCAGAAACCAGCTTCTGGGAGGTTTGAAGCCGTCGGGGCAAGCTGAGTGCAACTTCCAGCCGGACTTTCGCGAATGTTTGGCGCAAGTTTCGCGAAAGTCGACGGACCTCCCCGCCAGTTTCCGGACATGAGGCCAACGGGTCTTCTCATGCGCAGCTTGCGGCTTGTGAGCTGGAGCTGCGGAAGCGCGCTTCGCGTGCTACTTTGGAACTGAAAGGTCGCGACTTTCGAGCTGGGGCTGCGGAAGTTCACTTTGTGTACTACTTTCGTATTGAAAAGTTCTGACTTTCGAGGCTGAGGAAGTTTAGTCGTGTACTACTTTCGTATTCAAGACGGGCTGCGGAAGTTTACTTTTAGTACTACTTTCGCACTGAAGAGCTGCGACTTTCGAGCTGGGGCTGCGAAAGTGCACTTCGTGTACTACTTGTGTGATGAATGTTCTGAAAACAGCCCCGCGAAAGTTCCGCGATGGGGTCCGCGAAAGTTATTTTGTTTCTCGCGAAGATGGCGGTTTCCGGAACAAGGAATTTCAGACAACCGTCACATGTCAGATGCGTGTTTGCATGTCTGGTTGTTGGTTTGTATTCTTTCATGTTCTTATGGTGGCATGTACCTTGGTATGTATGAGTGTGTTGGATTTCTTGTTGTTTCCGCCGGTTGAATTGTGTGTTTGTTTGCTTTGTATTGATTTGTTTTGTTTGTTTGTTTGTTTGTGTGTTTGTGTGTTTGCGTGTTTGTGTGTTTGCTTGCTTGCTTGCTTGCTTGCTTGTTTGTTTGCTTGCTTGTTTGTTTGTTGCTTGGCCTGTTGGCTTGAAATGGCTTGACGTGCCAAATTTTGCTGGCAAAGTGAGAGAGAGAGTTCCGAGCGCATCATACGCGTTGGGCGTAAATGCGTGGCAGCCCTGTACTGAATGGTTTGGTTGGAACATTCTGCGAAGCATTTGGCATGTGTGCAAGACTGTGCCCTGCCTTCCTTCCAGAGTTCCCCGCAAGGACAATGTCTTGCGGAGCAGGATTAGGTACCTCTGCATGTTAAACAACCCGTTCGCTTTGGGGCAAACCATGTGGTATCCCGCAATTGACAGCATGCTCCGACCCGACAGGTTGGGGGGGCAGCCACGGCAAACCACTTTCCTTTCACGTACCACATGCAGCTTTCCACGTGCAATTTTGTGCGGCGGTGTAGACACGACTCGAAGTTGGTGTTGGACAATTTGGATAGCCCCTCAAGTTCATGCAAGTTCGATGGCTTCCAAATGATGGGCTGCAAGCGTGGAACTTCGCAGTTTTCAAGAAGTCTGCAAGCTGGCCAAAACCAGCCTGCAACAGTGCGAACATTTCCTCAGTCTGCCGCCAGGCTGGTGTATGAACTTTGCGCGGCTGCGTAGGCAGCTTGTTCTACAATTGAGTTGCCTGAGTTCAGAGAGTGAAGGACTTCAGAGAAGGTATGCTAGCGTGCATTGGCTTTGCCACAGCCACCCGTTGTCATGCGAGCTCAGGGGTTGTCCTCTCCTAACATGCATGGAGCCTTCAGAGAGAAATGTGGGGATTCCACTGGATTGATCAATTACACTGGGCTTTTGGGCGGCAAACCACTGGTGAGTATTCCTACACGCAAAAATGCACGACAGCACGCATCGAGTGTGATTTTTCTTAATTATTAATCTTGGTTTACTTGGGTTTCCGGATGTCTGAAGGCCGGTTAGAAGCTTGATTGCGTGTTCCAGTGGCATTGGTGTGTGTGTGTGTGTGCGCGCAATGACTGTGATTCTGCGTATGTTGTCACAAAGCATTCCAAACGCATGTTTTCACACAAGCTACTTAGTTAGTGGTGATTTTGCGGTGAGTATCACCGTCTCGACTATGAATACGACCGGGTGACCGCCCAGCAGAATCGAACCCGGAACCTTAGCAATCCGCAGACTACCTCAGCTCCAGCGTTGGCCTGCTTTTATTTTTTGCGGTCAGAATACGTTGCCTGAGATGCCAATGTTGGGCCTGAGGCGGCCGGTGCAACAAGGCGGGAGGGGGTCAGCCGGGTTTGCAATCAACCATTTAGCCCTTTGGGTTTCGCATTCGGCCCACTCTTTTCGTTTTCGGGTCTTTCGGGGAGGTGAGGCTATGCTTGTTTTATGAAGCAGGATGACTCTGGTCGCATGTTACAGCATGTTCCAACTTCGAAAAAACATCGCAGCCGTTGCTTGGCTTGACTAGCAGATTATTTTGCACTTGCATTCCAATGATCTCAATAGCAAAGGAAGAGACACAACGTAGTGCAGCCTTTACATTAGTGAGCGGTGGGTCAGGCATTATCGATCTTGTGTTTGTTTGGGGCCGGGGCCGGGTGCTGACGAAACAGCAATCCACGTTTGGGGCGGCAGATTCTCCAACCAGAGACCCTGGCAAATGGCGGCACCTTGATGTCAATCACAGGGTTTCCATGTATTAAACTGAATGGAAACGGCATCCGCCAGATTTCGTTTTGACAAGTGGCTCACTCACACCTCCAAAAGTGGCTGGTATCCCTTTAAGAAAACCAAAGGGGGAAAAAGGAAACCAACCGTTGGTTCCGTTTTTCCTGTTGGTTTCCCCCCAAAACAGATCCCCAGCTTTAGAAACACCCAGGGCATCCATTCCCTGCAGGCCTACGTGCCTTCAATCTGTAGATTTGCAGACGGTGTCCGGGCGGCAGAGTGACATCGCTCAAGACGGCAGGTCGTTGCGGATCGACTAGGTTTCAATCATCACCTTGTGGGCAAATGTTGATTTCCTTTCGGTGGATATTTTGAAAGGGAAACATATAGGGAATTCTGGAAGGGCAGTGGGCCCAAACATGGGGATCTTTCCCAACTGATTTGCAATTGTCACGAGCTTGCCTGTGTGTAAAAGGAGCTCACCCATAGTGAAGGTCTCTTTGGCATTCCTTACTTCAGGGTGGTGGATTTGCAGTATTTAGTGCAGAAACGGTTAGGGCCATTCTGGTTTACGTTCAAGCCGTGTCACACAAGTAGTCCAGGCATCCGTCCAGATAGCCACACGTCTTGCATCGACCGGAGTCGATTTGGCACCTCAGATTCTGACACACAGAGCAACGCACAACAATGCAGGAGTAAGCATTGCTTGCAGTAAGATCATCGGGCACTCGAATGATGCGAGCGCCTGTGGAATGCGCGCAGCCGTAAGAGGTGCAAAGCGGCGTCATCTCGAAGGAGACATAGCGACTGTCCAGATCAGATCTGTCGAATACAAGTGTGTGGGAAGCTGGCTTGGATGTCGTTTGAGGGAATCGTGGTTGCTTGGGAATCTTATGTACATATAACTGGCTGGGCCCCAACACTAACTGTTCTACTTTTAGGAGAATACTACGGCCAATGCGAGCAACATGTTGATACTTTAGATGTGTGGCTCAGTCAAGCTATTTGTATACATACGCATGAGTCAGTTTATGTGTGTGTGTGTGTGTGTGTGCGCGACATAAACACGAAGCGCATCATAGTTGCTCATAATCTAGCTGTATGAGTATCTATTGTGTGTAGACTAGCCTGTGTGTGTGACGATTCGGCTCGTTCAGCCTCAGCCGATTTCCCAAGGCCGGCTGCCGATTCTCTTTTCGGGCGGCCTTTTGCCGTATGGGCCGCTCAGGCCGCAAGTGGGAATGTTTCTTTGCGCGTCTGTCTGTTTGGGGACCCCCAAGGTTGGTTGCCCTCAACCAACCAAAAGGGTACCAACTCAAAGAAGGACACGCCCATTTCATCAGTCGCTTGATTCAAGGAGCTCATCTTGAATATGTTGAGTTGTGCTTTCACGTGTGGGAATTCAATTTCGGGAATTTGGGAACGCCTTCGCTCATTCTTTTGGGTTCGACTTGAAGACAAGAGATGTTGGGTTCTTCCTTGCGAACGGAGAGTTGAGGAAGCCCTTGTTTTGAGACGCCTGGCTTTGGCAAAAACGTTGCATCCACCTGGGGTTAGGGGTCAACCGATGTTGGCAGGTTGCAAACCTCGCGTTTGATCAGCATGATGTGTGTTGAGCCCTGTTTTGGAAGCAGAAACCAGCCACCTGAGGAGGTTGCCGATTTGAGAAACAAGCTCAATTATCCCCAGCAGGCCTCTGTGAAAAGGAAATGTGACCATGGACCAGCCAGTTCCAGTGCCAAAGATTCGAAGGAGACTGGCCCTCCGGTTCAGCTGGCTCTTAGATTGCCCAAGGAAATGCCCCAGTTGGCCTTCCCATGGTTTTGCTGGTGCCAAAGTTTCCCGGACGTCGCGCGGGCGGAGTCCTTGTGCCTTATGCCCTGTAGACCTGGCCCCGCACTGCTTTCAGAACCGAGACGAAAGCTGAGGTCGGGCATCCGTAAGCAGCCAACATTTGGCAACGGAAGGCTGGGACTGGGATCCTTCTGTTCAGTGTTTCAGGGGGGTATCAAAGTCAGAAAGAGTTGCGTCCCTGTACCCAACCACTAGGCTGACTTTGATGGTAGGAATCCCTTCCTCCCCATCGCCCAATCACTGTACAGTCAGGGCGGGCCACATCAATTAAGTAAGAGGCCCCCTGCTAATACATGTCCAACAGTTATTGGGTGAAAGGAACCTCTTGAATAAGTATAAGCAAGGCCCTCACGACTTCCAGTTTGCTTTCATGTACCCAGTACACAACCCAACATACTTGCCCAAAGAGCTGATCGTTTGTCGGGGCCAAACCGAGATGCCCCTACCTTGTGTCCCCTACCGCGAAAAAAGATCCAACAAAAGGCCCCTAGCCTATTGTTTCCCATGGCAATGATCCGATGCGCTCAGCAAAAAAGCGCGAGGCGCGAGAAGTGCCGTTTTAGGGCACTTCCAGAATTCAGCATTCCAAGTGAACTGATTCAGGGGCTTGCTGGAGTTGTATGGGGGCAACCAAGAAATGGCAACCGAAACGGAGAGAGGAATACTTAAACAATTCCAGGGTCCCTGGGTTGAAGTTCTAGAGGTGATCTAGGGCGTGTGATTTCAATGAACCCCGGGGGAGGCCTGTCTTTGACTTGGATTATTTGGGGCATGCGACGGTTGCGTAATATGTTCATGTTTGTTCCCCTTTCGATCTTGTTCCACATCCATTCCGGGAAGGATTGTCCATTGACAACTATAAATGCGCACCGCACCGCGTTAAAAAGGGGTGCCTCCTTTTCCCCACGCAGGCACCTCTTAAGAGGGTGTTGTGCGCAGCACATCCCCTGGCCAGGCATGCTCATCTTGATTGCGCGTGATGCGCTTGGCCCCGTCTTTTGAGCAACTTCGACCTCACTTGAGGGATCGATCCCAATGGCCTGAGCTGCGAGAGACCAAGCCATACAAAGATTGGACTACAGATATCTCAACAGAACTGTTTGGCCAGAAAGGTCGAGGCTCGGATTGTTCCTGCAAAGTTTCAATCCATTACGTGCAGGCTGGGAGTTTTCATGAACTGCTCACGTGTACAGCAAAGTCGGGCCAAGCTGTGCAGCTGCCTTGGTGAAGCATGCCAGCCCTGAGCGAACCATCCAAAGCCGATGTCTCCACGCGCGACGCGCGTTGACCCACGGAAATCCTGCCACCTGTCACCAGTCCACTGCAAAATGGATACCCAAACCTCCGGTTGCTCGTTACAGGCTTGGACAGAAGGCTACTCAGCTTCATGCGGGATTTCCTCTTTCTCCGCTTGAAATTCTTTGTATTTGCCTCGAGGGAGGAGGCAAGAACTGTGCATTCGGCCCCCAGGCAGGCTGGCACGTGCCATTGAACACGGGTTCCAAACAAGGGAAACGGGCCCAACGAAAACAGGTTGACTGCTGTCCTGTGCCTTTTGCAAAGCGAGTCCCGACTTTTAGGACATTTTCATAGTGGAGGCAGGTTTGCGTGCTGCTTCTGAAACTCAATTGAGTTCCCCACATTCTGTTTAGTGTTGCATGCTCTCAGATGCCAGGAGATGTTGTTTTTTTCAGAAAGGCTACTGGCACACTTGTGTAAACTACATCATTCAAGCCAGGCAGGTTGGTGTCCTTGCCGCCTCGGTTCCTTGAGTGTGGCTTGGCCGCCTGGCCTTGCTGAAGCGCGAGTTTGTCCTCGGCTGCTTGTCTTGCTGCCTGGGTTGTTTGCCTTGCCGCCTGCGTTGTGTGAGAGCGCCCTTGCCGCCTCGGGTCTTGAAAGCGGCCTTGCTGCCTCGGTTGCTTGAGAGCGGCCTTGCCACCTCGGTGGTTTGTGCGCCGCTTTGCCGCCTCGGTTGTTTGAGAGCGCCGCCTGAGTTGTTTGAGAGCCGCCTTGCCGCCTCGGGTCTTGAAAGCGGCCTTGCTGCCTCGGTTGCTTGAGAGCGGCCTTGCCACCTCGGTTGTTTTTGCGCCGCTTTGCCGCCTCGGTTGTTTGAGAGCGCCGCCTGAGTTGTTTGAGAGCGGCCTTGCCGCCTCGGGTCTTGAAAGCGGCCTTGCTGCCTCGGTTGCTTGAGAGCGGCCTTGCCACCTCGGTGGTTTGTGCGCCGCTTTGCCGCCTCGGTTGTTTGAAAGCGCCGTCTGAGTTGTTTGAGAGCGACCTTGCCGCCTCGGGTCTTGAAAGCGGCCTTGCTGCCTCGGTTGCTTGAGAGCGGCCTTGCCACCTCGGTGGTTTGTGCGCCGCTTTGCCGCCTCGGTTGTTTGAGAGCGCCGCCTGAGTTGTTTGAGAACCGCCTTGCCGCCTCGGGTCTTGAAAGCGGCCTTGCTGCCTCGGTTGCTTGAGAGCGGCCTTGCCACCTCGGTTGTTTTTGCGCCGCTTTGCCGCCTCGGTTGTTTGAGAGCGCCGCCTGAGTTGTTTGAGAGCGGCCTTGCCGCCTCGGGTCTTGAAGGCGGCCTTGCTGCCTCGGTTGCTTGAGAGCGGCCTTGCCACCTCGGTGGTTTGTGCGCCGCTTTGCCGCCTCGGTTGTTTGAAAGCGCCGTCTGAGTTGTTTGAGAGCGGCCTTGCCGCCTCGGGTCTTGAAAGCGGCCTTGCTGCCTCGGTTGCTTGAGAGCGGCCCTGCCACCTCAGTGGTTTGCGCGCCGCTTTGCCGCCTCGGTTGTTTGAGAGCGCCGCCTGAGTTGTTTGAGAGCGGCCTTGCCGCCTCGGGTCTTGAAAGCGGCCTTGCTGCCTCGGTTGCTTGAGAGCGGCCTTGCCACCTCGGTGGTTTGCGCGCCGCTTTGCCGCCTCGGTTGTTTGAGAGCGCCGCCTGAGTTGTTTGAGAGCGGCCTTGCCACCTCGGTGGTTTGTGCGCCGCTTTGCCGCCTCGGTTTTTTGAGAGCGGCCTTGCCGCCTCGGGTCTTGAAAGCGGCCTTGCTGCCTCGGATGCTTGAGAGCGGCCTTGCCACCTCGGTGGTTTGCGCGCCGCTTTGCCGCCTCGGTTGTTTGAGAGCGCCGCCTGAGTTGTTTGAGAGCGGCCTTGCCGCCTCGGGTCTTGAAAGCGGCCTTGCTGCCTCGGTTGCTTCAGAGCGGCCTTGCCACCTCGGTGGCTTGTGCGCCGCTTTGCCGCCTCGGTTGTTTGAGAGCGCCGCCTGAGTTGTTTGAGAGCGGCCTTGCCGCCTCGGGTCTTGAAAGCGGCCTTGCTGCCTCGGTTGCTTGAGAGCGGCCTTGCCACCTCGGTGGTTTGCGCGCCGCTTTGCCGCCTGAGTTGTTTGAGAGCGCCGCCTGAGTTGTTTGAGAGCGGCCTTGCCGCCTCGGGTCTTGAAAGCGGCCTTGCTGCCTCGGTTGCACTGAGAGCGGCCTTGCCACCTCGGTTGTTTGAGAGCGCCGCCTGAGTTGTTTGAGAGCAGCCTTGCCGCCTCAGGTCTTGAAAGCGGCCTTGCTGCCTCGGTTGCTTGAGAGCGGCCTTGCCACCTCGGTGGTTTGTGCGCCGCTTTGCCGCCTCGGTTGTTTGAGAGCGCCGCCTGAGTTGTTTGAGAGCGGCCTTGCTGCCTCGGGTCTTCAAAGCGGCCTTGCTGCCTCGGTTGCTTGAGAGCGGCCTTGCTGCCTCGGAGGTTTGTGCGCCGCTTTGCCGCCTCGGTTGTTTGAGAGCGCTGCCTGGGTTGTTTGAGAGCGGCTTGCCGCCTCGGGTCTTGAAAGCGGCCTTGCTGTCTCGGTTGCCTGAGAGCGGCCTTGCCACCTCGGTGGTTTGCGCGCCGCTTTGCCGCCTCGGTTGTTTGAGAGCGCCGCCTGAGTTGATTGAGAGCGGCCTTGCCGCCTCGGGTGTTGAAAGCGGCCTTCTTGCTGCCTCGGTTGCTTGACATTGAGAGCGGCCTTGCCACCTCGGTGGTTTGCGCGCCGCTTTGCCGCCTTGGTTGTTTGAGAGCGCCACCTGAGTTGTTTGAGAGCGCGCTTGCCGCCTTGGGTCTTGAAAGCGGCCTTGCTGCCTCGGTTGCTTGAGAGCGGCCTTGCCACCTCGGTGGTTTGTGCGCCGCTTGGCCGCCTCGGTTATTTTAGAGCGCCGCCTGAGTTGTTTGAGAGCGGCCTTGCCGCCTCAGGTCTTGAAAGCGGCCTTGCTGCCTCGGTTGCTTGAGAGCGGCCTTGCCACCTCGGTGGTTTGTGCGCCGCTTTGCCGCCTCGGTTGATTGAGAGCGCCGCCTGAGTTGTTTGAGAGCCGCCTTGCCGCCTCGGGTCTTGAAAGCGGCCTTGCTGCCTCGGGTCTTGAATGCGGCCTTGCTGCCTCGGTTGCTTGAGAGCGGCCTTGCCACCTCGGTGGTTTGTGCGCCGCTTTGCCGCCTCGGTTGTTTGAGAGCGCCGCCTGAGTTGTTTGAGAGCGGCCTTGCCGCCTCGGGTCTTGAAAGCGGCCTTGCTGCCTTGGTTGCTTGAGAGCGGCAATGCCGCCTCGGTGGATTGTGCGCCGCCTTGCCGCCTCGGTTGTTTGAGAGCGCCGCCTGAGAGTTGCTTGAGAGCGGCCCTGCCACCTCGGTTGTTTGCGCGCCGCTTTGCCGCCTCGGTTGTTTGAGAGCGCCGCCTGAGTTGTTTGAGAGCGGCTTGCCGCCTCGGGTCTTGAAAGCGGCCTTGCTGCCTCAGTTGCTTGAGAGCGGCCTTGCCACCTCGGCGGTTTGTGCGCCGCTTTGCCGCCTTGGTTGTTTGAGAGCGCCGCCTGAGTTGTTTGAGAGCGGCCTTGCCGCCTCGGGTCTTGAAAGCGGCCTTGCTGCCTCGGTTGCTTGAGTGCGGCCTTGCCACCTCGGTGGTTTGTGCGCCGCTTTGCCGCTTCGGGTCTTGAAAGCGGCCTTGCTGCCTCGGTTGCTTGAGAGCGGCCTTGCCACCTCGGTGGTTTGTGCGCCGCTTTGCCGCCTCGGTTGTTTGAGAGCGCCGCCTGAGTTGTTTGAGAGCGTCCTTGCCGCCTCGGGTCTTGAAAGCGGCCTTGCTGCCTCGGTTGCTTGAAAGCGGCCTTGCCACCTCCGTGGTTTGTGCGCCGCTTTGCCGCCTCGGTTGTTTGAGAGCGCCGCCTGAGTTGTTTGAGAGCGGCCTTGCCGCCTCGGGTCTTGAAAGCGGCCTTGCTGCCTCGGTTGCTTGAGAGTGGCCTTGCCACCTCGGTGGTTTGTGCGCCGCTTTGCCGCCTCGGTTGTTTGAGAGCGCCGCCTGAGTTGTTTGAGAGCGGCCTTGCCGCCTCGGGTCTTGAGAGCGGCCTTGCTGCCTCGATTGCTTGAGAGCGGCCTTGCCACCTCGGCTGTTTGGTCGCCGCTTGGCCGCCTTGGTTGTTTGAGAACGCCGCCTGAGTTGTTTGAGAGCGGCCTTGCCACCTCGGGTCTTGAAAGCGGCCTTGCTGCCTCGGTTGCTTGAGAGCGGCCTTGCCACCTCAGCTGTTTGTTCGCCGCTTTGCCGCCTTGGTTGTTTGCGAACGCCGCCTGAGTTGTTTGAGAGCGGCCTTGCCACCTCGGGTCTTTGAAGGCGGCCTTGTTGCATCGGTTGCTTGAGAGCGGCCTTGCCGCCTCGGTTGTTTCAGAACAGCCTCGCCTCCGCGGTTGTTTGAGAGCAGCCTTACCGCCTGTGTTGTCAGTGAGCGACCTTGCCGCCTCGGTGGTTTGAGAGCGGCTTCTCGCCTCGGTTCTTTGAGAGAGTTCTGAAACGCCTTGCTTGGTTGAGAGCGCTCTGAAACATTTTGGTTGTTTCCAGCAGCCTCCCCGCCTCGGTTGCTTGAGCTGCCTGCATAGGGCAGCCTTGCCGCTCGGTTATAGAGGGGCCTTTCCGCCTCAGGTGTTTGAGAGCGGCCTTGCTGCCTCGGTTGTTTTAGAGCGGCCGTGCAGATTCAGTTGCCTTGCCGCCTGAGCGTTTGTTCGGAGAGCGGCCTTGCCGCCTGAGTTGTTGCGGCGCGGCCTTGCCGCCTCGGGTGGTTGGAGCGGCCTTGCCGCTTGTTTGGAACGGCCTTGCCGCCTGAGTTGCTGGAGAGCGCCCTTGCTGCCTGAGTTGTTTGAGAGGTTGCCGCCTCGGTTGCTTGGAGCGGCCACGCCGCTTGAAGTGATAGAGAGCGGCCTTGCCGCCTGAGTTGTTAGAGAGCGGCTTAGCCACCTGAGTTGTTGGAGAGCGGCCTTGCCGCCTCGATTGTTTGGAGCAGCCTGGCCGCCTTGGTTGTTTGGAGCGGCCTCGCCACCCGAGTTGTTAGAGAGCGGCTTTGCCGCCTGAGTTGCTAGAGAGCGCCATTGCCGCCTGAGTTGTTGTTGCCGCCTCGGTCGTCTGGAGCGGCCTTGCCGCCTCGGGTGTTCGGAGCGGCCTCGCCACCTGACCTGACTTGTTAGAGAGCGCCTTTGCCGCCTGAGTTTTTAGAGAGCAGCGTTCCTGCCTGAGTTGTTCGAATGGTGTTTGGAGCGGCCCCGCCGCTTGAAGTGTTAGAGTGCGGCCTTCCCGCCTGAGTTGTTACGGAGCGGCTTTGCCGCCTGACTTGTTGGAGCGGAGCCTTGGCGCCTCAAGCTGCCGCCTGAGTTGTTAAGCGGCCTTGCCGCCTGACTTGTGCCCCGGTTGTTTGGACCGGTCTCGCCGCCCCAGTTGCTTAAGAGCGGCCTTGCCGCCTGAGTTGTTGCACAGTGGCCTTGTCGCCTCGGTTGTTTGGAGCGGCCTCGCAGCCTGAGTTGTTAAGGACCGGCTTTGCCGTCGAATTTGTTGGAGAGCGGCCTCGCCGCCTGACGTGTTGGAGAGGGGCCTTGCCGCCTGAGTTGTTACAGAGCGGCTTTGCCGCCTGACTTGTTGGAGAGCGGCCTCGGCGGCTCGGTTGTTTGGAGCGGCCTCGTCGCCTGAGTTGCTAGAGGGCGGCCTTGCCGCCTGAGTTGTTGGCGAGCGGCCTTGCCGCCTGGTTTGTTGGAGAGCGGCCGCCTCGGCCTCGGCGGCTCTGTTGTTTGGGTGGCCTTGCCACCTGAGTTTTTGAAAGCAGCCTTGCCGCCTGGTTTGTTGGAGAGCGGCCGCCTCGGCCTCGGCGGCTCTGTTGTTTGGGTGGCCTTGCCACCTGAGTTTTTGAAAGCAGCCTTGCCGCCTGAGTTGTTGGAGAGCGGCCTCGCCGCCTGATTTGTTGAAGCCTGGCCCTGCCGCTTGATTTGTTGGGGAGCGGCCGCCTCGGTTGTTTGAGAGCGGCCTCGGCGGCTCTGTTGTTTTGGCGGCCTTGCCACCTGAGTTGTTTGAGAGCAGCCTTGCCGCCTCAGTTGTTGGAGAGCGGTCTTGCCGCCTGATTTGTTCAAGAGCGGTCTTGCCGCCTCGGTTATTTGAGAGCGGCCTCGGCGGCTCGGTTGTTTGGAGCGGCCTCGCCGCCTGAGTTGTTTGAGAGCGGCCGTCTCATTTTTGTGCGCGTATCAATCGGCATGGTGCAGCCCAATAGTTGGTTCCGCAGTTAGCTTTGTAGAAGTGTTTTCCTGATGTTGCAGTCTGAACTCCATGGTAGCCAGGGTCACTGTCCATGGCAGGGTCGCACATGGAATCCCTCAGGGTTTCGGCGCCGGTCCGACAATTATCTGGTCAAATGCGCACCCTGGCCGAACGTCTGGTTTTTGTGTCCAGTCCTTCTTTCAGGAACCCTCCAAAATGGGTGGTATTCATTGCGATTCCCCTAGAAAGCGGCAAACATGGGTGCCCCAAAAGCAGAACACTTGAGGGGTCTTTTGTAGGAGGTCGATTCACCCTTGATTTGGTGAAACAATATGATACTCCCCAGTTCGAATGGATTTGGGCGAGATTCCCTGGAGTTCCCCCAGGAACGACTAGTTCGCTCAAAGCCCGTCGCCGGAGCAAGCCTGGGAGTCCTGGGCAAAGTGCCGGGGCCACATCACTTGCTGTGAGCATTTTTAGGTCCGGGCTCGAACTTTGTATAGAGTGTCAGCACGGTTGGGTTCCCACTTTTTGGTGATCAAATAGCAAGCCATAGAAAATCGCTCGGCTTGCCGTGTTCTTCAGTTGCAAAACGAAGGGAATCCGGCAGAGCTGCAAATTTGGTGCGACCAGCGCTCCCCAATAAGACTCATTGGTGGATGTGTTGAACTGCGCTTAGCGGGAAAATCGCCATGGCGCTCAGCGACGAAGCGACCTCAAACAGAATGTTTCCGCAACTGGAAAATCGTCTTCAGCTCCCGGGAATATGGGGACCATGGTTGCCCTTGCCACTAGCCTGCTGCCCAGAGGATTGCACCCTGCACATATGAGCCGACAGAGCAGGTTCACCATGAGATAGCCATTTGATGCCAGCGTTGGGCTTTCGGCCGTTTTGGCTTCAGCTGTCCGCATCCATGGGCTCCCAAAGATGCAGCAGGCGCGGGGCCAGCTTATACCTACTGGGTTCGGAAAGGATCCCGAAGATGTTGCGAGTGGGAGCTTATAGGGCTTCGATCTCGCGGGGCAAAAGGTGGATAGATGGATCAATCCCTGGAGCCGCGGAGGTCCATGAACTGGCTTCGGCGGGGTTGTGAAACGCTTCCACAAATAGACACGACGCCCAAAAAGGGAGTCCTGCAAGGACAATATTGTACAGATCCATTCGTTCAGTTAACGCGCACTCTGAGAAATATGATCGAGTATTGTCCATTGAGGGCCCGAATAGTTTATGTATAATTATGGAGTGCACATGGTGCATTTGTGTACGGCCAGAATCTCAAAAGCATACGCATCAATCGGTTCAGTCGGAGCTTTTCAGATGTGGTTTGATAGAAACAGTTTGGGAGTATGTTGCATGCATTTGCTGGTTGAACCTTCCCTCACCTGACGCGAGGTTGACGTGTTGCCTGAAAATGTTGGTAAGCCGTTGACTCGGCAAGCAACAAGAACCTCCGCCCATGTGGAAGATGACTTTCAGGAGCAACGGCGGATGCAGCATGATGGCCATCAGGGTGTGCGCGTCTCTCTGTGTGCGTTGTGTTCTTTGTGTTTTGTGTGTGTGTGTGTGTGTGTGTGTGTGTGTGTGTGTGTGTGTGTGTGTGTGTGTGTGTGTGTGTGTGTGTGTGTGTGTGTGTGTGTGTGTGTGTGTGTGTGTGTGTGTGTGTGTGTGTGTGTGTGTGTGTGTGTGTGTGTGTGTGTGTGTGTGTGTGTGTGTGTGTGTGGTGTGTGTGTGTGTGTGTGTGTGTGTGTGTGTGTGTGTGTGTGTGTGTGTGTGTGTGTGTGTGTGTGTGTGTGTGTGTGTGTGTGTGTGTGTGTGTGTGTGTGTGTGTGTGTGTGTGTGTGTGTGTGTGTGTGTGTGTGTGTGTGTGTGTGTGTGTGTGTGTGTGTGTGTGTGTGTGTGTGTGTGTGTGTGTGTGTGTGTGTGTGTGTGTGTGTGTGTGTGTGTGTGTGTGTGTGTGTGTGTGTGTGTGTGTGTGTGTGTGTGTGTGTGTGTGTGTGTGTGTGTGTGTGTGTGTGTGTGTGTGTGTGTGTGTGTGTGTGTGTGTGTGTGTGTGTGTGTGTGTGTGTGTGTGTGTGTGTGTGTGTGTGTGTGTGTGTGTGTGTGTGTGTGTGTGTGTGTGTGTGTGTGTGTGTGTGTGTGTGTGTGTGTGTGTGTGTGTGTGTGTGTGTGTGTGTGTGTGTGTGTGTGTGTGTGTGTGTGTGTGTGTGTGTGTGTGTGTGTGTGTGTGTGTGTGTGTGTGTGTGTGTGTGTGTGTGTGTGTGTGTGTGTGTGTGTGTGTGTGTGTGTGTGTGTGTGTGTGTGTGTGTGTGTGTGTGTGTGTGTGTGTGTGTGTGTGTGTGTGTGTGTGTGTGTGTGTGTGTGTGTGTGTGTGTGTGTGTGTGTGTGTGTGTGTGTGTGTGTGTGTGTGTGTGTGTGTGTGTGTGTGTGTGTGTGTGTGTGTGTGTGTGTGTGTGTGTGTGTGTGTGTGTGTGTGTGTGTGTGTGTGTGTGTGTGTGTGTGTGTGTGTGTGTGTGTGTGTGTGTGTGTGTGTGTGTGTGTGTGTGTGTGTGTGTGTGGGTGTGGTGTGTGTGTGTGTGTGTGTGGTGTGTGGTGTGTGGTGTGTGTGTGTGTGTGTGTGTGTGTGTGGGTGTGTGTGTGTGTGTGTGTGTGTGTGTGTGTGTGTGTGTGTGTGTGTGTGTGTGTGTGTGTGTGTGTGTGTGTGTGTGTGTGTGTGTGTGTGTGTGTGTGTGTGTGTGTGTGTGTGTGTGTGTGTGTGTGTCTGTGTGTGTGTGTGTGTCTGTGTGTGTGTGTTTCTGTGTGTGTGTGTGTGTTTGTGTGTGTGTGTAAACCAGGAAAATCAAGAGGAAATCAGCCCACCTAGCTTCCTGCAAACTTTCCTGTCGACTTTCCCCAGCAAGTTAAGTCACAGATGAGTTGTGATACTCTCAGGATGCATCAGCTCCCGAATTTGTGCCAGGCTTTGGCCTGGGCGTCCAAGCAGCTGGAAGGACCTCTCAAAAGGGGCGGCACGGGGGGCCCGAAAACGGGGTGTTTTTGTTGATTCTGCCTGAGGGTCTCATGAGGTTTCAAGGGCAACAGAGAGGACACAGCGCCATTTTCGGGGGCCATGTTTTGGGGTCACCAGAGTTTGACACGCAGCCAGAAAGGCTCAACAAATGAAGGACCCAGGTGACCGCAGACCTATATTCCTACAAACTGAGAGGTGGGTACCAGACGGTTGATCCACTGCCAAATTTTCTGATAGGCTTGCGCCTTTTTGAGCTTGGCGTCAATTGGCCGTTGTGTTTGGTTGTCTTTGCTTTTTCTCCAGAGGTCCGTCCCTGAATCGGCCGGTCAATTAGAATCCAGATGCGGTTTGGGTGGCTCGAAGAAGTGGGTTCAGGATTTGAGGCACACAGTGGCTCGTGGACGTGTCAATGGCACTTAGAGGTCATGCATTTACAGGGCACGGGCTCGACGCGTTCACACCATCAACAACTGCTAAAATTCCCTACAAATACACATGGACCCCAGAACAAAATCGGTTCCCCAAAAAGAGATTCCTCTCAATATGGAGGTGTTTTTTTATTCACCCGGCTGTCAACCTCCGACCAACGGAGCGTTCAGGAGTCCTTGTGTTGGAGCCTCAAACGGAGTGTCCGGAATTTTGTACCTGGACAACCCCCTTCTGGATTGGCCCGATCCCTTTACAGACCAAGCAATGGTGAAAATGGCTTCAGAAGAGCCTGGAGTGATTTCCTCTTGGAGGTATGAAGCCCAATCTGCCCAAAAAGCGTTTTCGCCTGGATGAAACATCCCTGTGTATTGCGGCTCAAAGGGGGCCAAAAGGAGGCCAGCCATTTAAAGGGTCCATGGTGGGTTTCACTACTTAAAATCGGTATACGCGAGACAGGTCCCAAATCGCAAGAAGTTTTTGGGTGAAAACAATGACAGAACCATGGGAGGTGAGTCAGAGTGTGTGTTGTCAAGAGCGTTGTCGATTGAGCAATGCCGCTATCCCAGATTGAACACATTGGTTTGCTATACCGACGGGTGGATTTAAGTCCACCATCCCAATACGTTGCATAGTTGCTCAACGAATCCAACCGCGCATTTGACTCGAAGCCGCTCAATCGCCAGAGGTCTCAATGGGCCAGCATTGCCGCTTTTGGTGGCTGAAAGCGCATGTCACTGTCACACTGTCAATAATTTACGGTGTTGACATTTCTTGGGTCCGTGGCATTTTCATGGATTTGCATCATGCATTTTTGGGTTTGTGCTTGTTTGAGGGTACTCTTTTCAGACTTCAAAGGAGAGGCCGGAGAAAAGCCACCCAAAATGGGTGTCCTCCTATCTTCGCACGTGCTTATGTGGAGGGTTCCTGAACCTGAGTGGATTGTTTGTGCTAAGGGCTGATGGCTGCTGCTGCGCAGGCAAAGGTCTGGCGCTCAGGGGCCACTGCACAGATCTTCCGATTCGAGCTCATCTATGATGAGGTACCCTCATGTGGGCATGTTTGATTGCCAGTTTTTGGAATTGTCGTAGTTTGCCCAGATGGCTGGGGTATGCACCACACGTTCCAGCCTAAGTTAGGGACACACACACACAAGCATTAGGTGTGCAAGAATCTCACTGTGAGGAATCTAATTCGTGGAACCGTAGGTGATTAAAGGCTCCTTCTCTGCTATTTTGCATTGGATGGCGACGTTTTCATAGTTGTTTTTGTTTTTTGTTTTTTCTCGGAGTTGCGGCTCACCCGAAAGGCTTGTTGGTGGCCTTTTCCACACCAGCATCACAGGCAATTGGCTTGAGTATTTTGCCCGGGGGGGCTGTACGTTCGCACGACTTGCCCAAAAGAGCCGTAAAGTGTTGACCCGCGATGGAAGTCAAACGGCAATCAAGCGAATTCTGCTCGATAAAGTTCAGAGGAAACCTCACCTAAATGGAGGAAAACAGACGAAAATCAAATCATTTTAGGCCCTTTTCCTGGGAGTCAACCTGCTTATACGCTTTGGGCTTATCCGGGCCCTGCAGGCATATTTTATTGGCAGAAGCATGGAGGTTTTCCAAACCTTTCACCGGGTTTTGGCTGACCGCATACCTGGTGCGACAAGAAGAGTGCCGAGCCGGCGGACAAGATAATATCAAATATCAATCAAGCTTTGTTCAAGCATGGGGTTGCGTGCTCAGTTTCCTGACCCACTTCACCAAGTTGGCTCACTTTCGTAAGCCAACTCAATCCTCAGATTTATTGCATCCACAGACTCAATCCACTCTTCGTGAGGATAATGGCAGCCCGCATCTCACTCCGAACCGTTTTTATTTGTGGCACCACTCCGAACCGTTTTCTTTCTAAGGCACGGAATGACTCGGTTGAAATCATGCGTGCTTTCACATCGGGGGCGGTCGAGCAGCCCACACCGCCGAGGTCCTGACGCGAAGTATGGAGATCTCGCCGGCGCCTCAAGTGACAGGCTGGCGTGCGAAGGACGTGGAAAATCCCAAGTCGTTGGAGCAGGCTCCTGGAAAATGTGGTTGTTTGCCATTGAAAACATGACTTTTTCCATCAGACCATCACCAGACCACCATGCTGCGGTAGTGTTCAGGTGCTGTATTCTTGTCCCAGCTATTTGGAATAGCCATCTTGCGAGGAATGTGCGAGAAAAGCAGACAGGATTTAAGGAACATGATATTTGCAATTTGACATGTGCACGAACAGCAGAAGGTTGCCCCACCCTGCCAGTTTCAACTCCGGCTCGAGGCTGGCGAAGTGAAAAGCACGGAGATATTTTCGCCTAACGGCATGCGAAGAACTGGCCGTCCGGCGATTCCTGGCAAAAAAGGTCCAAAACAGCATTCCAGCAGCCAAAATCACCCCTCCCGGAAACTCACTCCCTAAACTTTTTGGGAAGACCATTGTAGTGGCAAACCAAGAGTTGGGACTTGTTTTGGCCCACCCACTCGCTTCGTGTGAAGTTTGCTTAGGTCGTCATGACGGACTGGGACACCAACGAGGGCGCAGCCGGCTCAGTGAAGTCATGTTCTCGCACCCTTTTTGTTGGCCCATCTCTTTGGTTTGCATTTTGATAGTTTACTAAATTTGAAGAATCATGCATGTGGCTTTGCACGTGAACACGGAACCCACACCACTTTTGAAAGTTGAACCTCTTGCTGGGAACGCTTCCCTTAGGTTCCGCAGATCTCGGGAAGCTCTGAGGTTCCTGGCTTTGTGGACATCCCCAGGCACTGCACTCAGCAAGCAGTTTCCTCGTCGACTTTTGCTGGGTGCTACAGAGGTGCTTTTCTTCGATGTTCCCCAATTCGAAACGCTAAGGTCGTGAACTTGTCTGTTGGAGGGTGTCTTGTGTGTTTCAAGTTGCGGAACCTTCCTGATTTGCTTTCGCTGTTGGTTTGGAAGGACGCGCCGCACTGGGTCAGATTGCCCAGTGTTGGTGGCATGAATCAGTGCTGGCTCGGACCTTTCCTCCCCCAAGCTTCATTGTAACGTTGACTTCCGCTCGCAGTTTAGCTTAGAATGTTCCCGGTTCAGATGCACTATGACTGAATATATGAAATGGAAAAGGCATTCAGCTTGCTCCGAGGCTGTCGGAAGATCCGGCCAGGGCGGAGGCATGTGTCAAAGTTGTGGGGGAGGGGAGCGGGGGGCGAGGTCATTCTTGCTTTTTGTGAGACCGACAAAATGGTGGTTTTGCTTTTGGTGGTCCTTTACCAAACAGGCCCAAACAAGACATGGCGGCTTATCTCTGGTCCACCCAAGTGTCTCATAAAAACTGGGGCGCCGGCACCCGGTTTACCCATGTGCTGGACCATTCATGCCCGGTCATACTGTGGATGACGAAATCCTGCACCACCTAAGAAACCCCTGGAATGATGTTTGTCCTGTAAATACCGACAAACAATGGTTTCCCATGGTTCTTAAATGGTGCAGGATTTCGTCCATCCACAGTATGGCTCCCTAAAAAATTGAAGGCGGGTGTGTTTGCCGATGGGCGGGCTGGCCACAAGTCCATGAGGATGGTTGCCCCGTGACTGGTAGGTATCTCATTTGACGTGTGTGGTTTTTTCTCCCGAAGCAACAGTCGGGATGCCAAGATGTCCGCTTTCAGCTGGTTTTGTCATAGCCCTTTGGGCCACTAGATGAGTTTCCGCCTATAGGGAGCCCGGAGTCCAGAAAGGAAAGCTCAGTCTTTGAGTTGTTTTTTCCTTTTGCATGGGAAGACAATTGTAGTTGACAAACAGTTTGGGCTCTTCATTCCACTCTCCCCCTTTGAGTTTAGATCCGTCAGGTGCTTACATCAGATACCGGTTTCCCTTGTCGCGAGGATCGCGAAGTGGGAGAGACCGATGGCTAGGCCAGCTCCTCCCGGGAGTATAGCCCGGCGGAGGATCTGGAAGACCCCCTGGCGGCACGCGAGGCCTAGATCCGAGCGCTTTTGGTTTCAGTGGTTTAAAGGGAAGCCAATGGAAAAAACAACATTTCTTTGGGAGGCTTTCCATGAGAAATCTGGGATTCCCTTTGACATGATCTTACATTTTGAGCTTCACTACGAATGTTCCGGAATCATGTCAGACATCTTTGCGTTGCCTATCTTGGTCTTTGGCATTCGGCGCGTGCCCCCTAGAGTCTGAGAAACGCGCCTGAACTCCTCCAATCGACCGATAGATCAGGCACATGGAGCCAACTGCCGATGGAAAAGCTCATGTGCGCCACGTTGTGCTATTGGCTTTTTTGGTGTACTGGCTGCTCACAAAAGAGGGCGCAACCGCAGAGTTCTCTGGTGCATCTGAGAAGGACTTATGTTCAATCTATCCCTTCAGGGTTCCGCGAAACGGGCCCTGGAACCGAGCCCTAACCTGTCCGCAGTTTCGACCGAAGCCACACAAGTGGGCAAAATAGATGGACACCACCTTGGATGGCGGCTTCCCCTCTGTTTCCCTTACCAATCCTTAAAGTAGTATAGTGTAGCCTAAGAAGACCCCCTGTTTGTTTGTCTAAGAACACCCCACCCTGTTTCCCTTTCCAATCTTTAAAATTAGTGTAGCCTCAGAAAGAGATTCCCCCTGTTTCCTAGCCCAAGAACACCCCGCTCTGTTTCCCTTAACCTCAAACTCCAGTAGCCTAAGACCCCCAGATGCCCCAGCCGGAGGTTTTGCAGCTCAGAGAGCTGATGAAGAACTTCGTGCAGGAGATGGCCCATGCCTCACGTGGAACTCGACCTCGCTACCTCTGGGTGGACGTTTTTTTCTTGTTTGTGCGGCTGGCATGGTGTTGCCTCTAGTTCGGCATTTGTCTTTGTTATTTGTTTGATGGTTAGTTTGATTGGTTTGGTTGGTTTGGTTGGTTTGGTTGGTTTGGTTGGCTTGGTTGGCTTGGTTGGTTTGGTTGGTTTGGTTGGTTTGGTTGGTTTGGTTGGTTTGGTTGGTTTGGTTGGTTTGGTTGGTTTGGTTGGTGGTTGTGTTTGTGATTATGTTTGTGTGTGTGTGTGTTTGTAGGTGTGTGCCGTTGTTGGTATGTCTGTGTAGTGGTTCGGTTGTTTGTTTGCTCGGTTGTTTGTTTGTGAGGCTTGTGCATGCCCAGGCAACACTTGATCCAGGGAATAAGCTACTTGACCCACGATGATCGATGCTGAATAATGTTTGTTTCGGGACCCTCATTCCAGCTCTTTGTATTTGCGCTTTGCCCAGATGATATCTGACATGCACTCTGAATTACGGCAACTTCAAGTGAGTGGCTGCCATTGCCCTGGATTCCAGTGTAGATCAACGTTGAGAGCCACACGCCACTGGGTTAATTATTGACTGAGATTTGTTAATCAGGGGTCGGCATGCCTTCTGAGCTCGATATAAGCGGAGCTGCAGAAGCTGACTGAGAACTCGAATCATGTGAGTGTCGCGTTGTTTGGCGCAGGTGGTTGGGCGGGAGGTGAACATTGTCGTGGAGGACTGCCGATGGCCCGGGGGAAAAAAGCATGTGTTCAATAGCTTGACGTGCCAATGGGCGAGCTGTTGTGGGTCCCTTCTAGTTTCCAAAGCAATGGTAAATGTCATGTTGTGCGTTTTGGTGGCCATTAAGAAGAAGAAGAAGAAGATGGAAGCTGTTGAAGCAGTCAGATGCCAAAACTCCCTGGAGACAGAAGTGGGCTCCATGTCGAGGTATGAAATGAGCTGAAGATTTGAGACCCGGCTCCTCTAGACGCGTAACGTAACTCACATCTGTTGAATCCTTTGCACGATTCTGGGTGGACCATTTTAATGCCAGGTTCTGATTCTGACTCGTGTAAGCTCGCGGAAGTGGTGAAGCTAGCACCGCGCAAGCTCCGCGGAGGCCTTCTAGGCTGTTAGATGCTTGGGCGAAGCTCTATTTCGGAGATACTGTACTTCGCGTTGTGTTTGGCTGCACTTGTATTATGCTTGTTCTACACAGTGGCGATTTTCAAGTTGGAGCCGCCCGGCGTACTACACTTGCAACAACAAAAGTGCGACTTTCGAGCTGAAGCTGCGGAAGTGCACCTGGCGTACTACCCTTGCACTACAAAGTTGTAGCTTTTTGAGCTGGAGCTGCCAGAGTGAGCTCCGCGCGCTAGACTCTAGGCTGTGCCGCGAAAGCCGCGCGTAAGTGGTTTGCAAGAGCACGCAAAGCGAGATTGAAAGCAAAACCAGTGCGTAAGACCCGTGGACGGCTTCGCGGAAGCATTCGGCAGTAGAACACAAAGTCAGTAGGTTTTGGGCACTGCTTCATGGATTTTTGACTCAGAAAGGTGTGCGCAGAACTTTCCGGGCCCGTTGTGCATTGATTTTCAAGGTTTAGGAAAGATCCTATTCTGTGTCGGCATCGCCTTGGCGTTGACCATGTCTACGCCCAAACTGTTGGATTTGCCGGGAACGTCGGCAAGAGACAACGCTTGATTTCGATTCCTGCAACGGAACATCCCTCTTGGCTTGCGAAAAATGGCGCCTAAATCATTTTCTCAGATCTGAGTTGAGATCGATGAGACTGACTGGCGATCTCGCTGAGGACATGCGTTTCCTGTATGTCTTAAAATGTTCGACCACTCCAAGTGGTTTCTCTTGATCTCCCTGCATTCTGTGTAGTGGCGTTGCACTATAGATTTGGTGGTAGGTGATCTCGCTTTGGTTGGGCGACATCCTGCACGACTTTGAAACCATGGTTGAACCCATGGTTTGTCGCTATTTGCAGGGGAGAAGCAAGGTGTTGTGACTGAAGAGGATTTGTCTCGCTAGGAGGATCAGCTGGAAAAGGGCTGGTCGGACTCTCAGCCTCCGCGCTGCCCCATGAAAAAAGAAATGTGGGGTCCTCAAAACCAATCGGCCATTCCGGTCGATGCACAAAAAGGGGGTATGTTTTCGTTGGTGAGCTCTGGGGACCTTCAAACCATCCAGAATCCACTTTCCGTATTTCAGGAGGCACACTTCTTTTTTTTCTACGTCTTTGGGGCAATTGAGTTGTGTATGGGCTTGAACTATGGACATCGGTAGAATGAAGGTGTTGAAAATGCTGCCAGAAGCAGCAGTATAATACATTGCAAGCAACATGCACAGGTGGATGCCCTACATGTTGCAACTAGGGAACAAGGGAAAGCCTGTCAATTCCCATGTTGCTTACAGTACTTGGCACTGTACCTTCTTGGATTCTGGCAGCGACTTGGCCAGGTTTATGGCGACCGAAGAAGGGGTAACAGTGAGGCGGTAAGTCTTCCTATGGATCACTTTTGAGGCGCAGTGATTGAACCCATGAAAGCTTGTTGGTGTCTAATGTGGGAAATGGCCAGGGCCTGCACATACTTGCATCAGGCACGCCACCAATCTTTGCAAAGCAGGCCAACCAGGGTTCGGATATCGGCCTATTGCTTTCCTTTGCCACGTACACACACATGCAGCACTCTGAATATATCCTCGTAGCTTCCCAGTCTTCAAGGCCTTGAATCGTGTCGCAACTGTGCGTTCAAGACGAACTCTCCTGAAAATAAAGCCTCCAAATCCCATTTGAACATGAATCTTCGGGGATTGGATCTCTCTTTGGAGGACACCTTGCTGACTTAGTTGTCCAAAGCCGACCTGGATTTGTGGTCAAGCCCCACAAAAGGTCGATCTCGGCGCTCGATGCTCCGATGCTTGAGGCTCCGCCTCACACCAAACCTTCTGCAGCTTCGACTCGATGTCGATGGTGCCTCCCATGAAATGCTGCTCAGGAGAGGCGGGTTTTTCTTAGCATCATGGGCCTCAGAACTGTCAGGACCTGACCTCTTTAGCCGGCAAACTTCGATCTACGTACTTCCCCCCCAAGACAATGAATAGATGAACAACTGAAAATCAACACGTCAGCATGGCTCATAAGAAGCTTTGGTTGCCTGTTGCCTTTCTCTGTTCTTCCGCACCTCAAAAATGGCACTTGTTGAAAGGCCCAAAGACCAACCTGGAAATAGTTGGGCCAACAGTCCCAAAGTTATATCTTTGGGGGGTGCCCAAAAGTAGGCCAACTGCCTTTGCTGGTTTCTGGGGCTCTCGATTTTGCTTAGTTCCGTCATGTGGCTTTGTACGCAGCAAGCGGCGTTCGCATGCAAGAAGCAACGAGGGGATGGTGCTCCGTGTGTAACTGTTGTACGACAATAATATCAAAGACAAACCTTGGTGGCTCCCAGCCATCCTTTTCCTTAGCCTTTTAGCTTGCTAGTGTTTAGTGGGGATTTCCTTTGAACCCAAAAGTTAGTCACTTTTAGCGGGGGATCTGAAAACGGACAGCCAGAAGCCAGTTGTGTTTGGTGTGCTTGTGCTTGCAAATCAGGAGTGCAATTTGCCGAAGTCTGCAGCTCGAGCGAGGAAGCTGTTTCCAGTTACCCTCCCAACCAATGGGGAAAGGTGTTATACCATTCCCATTTGGTGGGAGGGTAACTATTCAGGAGGCCTTGGTACTCTTTGGGTATGTGTTATATTCAGGGGGCCCAAGAAAACAGTTGTTCCTTTAGATTTGAAGGGAAGCCAGAAGAAAAAAGGACGACATGCCCAAATATGGCAGTGCACAGGAACCCTTGTCAAAATCAAAATGGTGTTCCGAAGGAGGTGCATTTTGCGTGAGGGCAATCAAATTGCTTGGCGCTTGCGCGGAACAGTAGCGTCAAAATGCCTAGCTGCACTTCAGGATGCTAGCCTGCACGTGTGTAATGATAAGTCTTGCCAGACATACCCTTCAACCACATATTGCAAACGGCATTTGCAACTAGTGCTGCCAAGAAATCACAAGCCATGGCGCTTGCTGTTTTAAAGGCCAACGCGGTGCCCCAAAGCGGATTCGAATACAAACTGCTGAAAAAAAAAAAACAGCAGCACCACCTGCGGCCCCCGCAAACGGCAGGTGTCCCCCCCCGACTCTGCCAGGAATATCCGAGATGTGCGGTCCGGCAAGATGGGCCATGGTCCGGTGAAGCTGGAGCGAGCCGACGTAGCCCCCGGCTTCGGGGGAGAAAAAAGAAACGAGTGGCCCCCGAAAACACGAGACATACCTATTTGGGGCGTCGTGTTCTTTTTTGTACCAACGTTTTGGGGTTGGTTTTAAGGGAAAACAGCGGGAATTCGACCGTTCTGGGGGGGGTTGAAGATAGAAATGTTCCAGTGTTTCCTTGTTTGACACTTAGGTGCCCCTGATCCGACATACAAAAGGGGGAGCAACCCCTCTTTTCTTCTCCGAAAAAAACCTTTGGAACGGTGGTTCGAAGTAGATAAAGGGTGTGAGCCACTTGGTGGCCAACTGCCTTTGCTTTGGCAGTGGCTGACAAGGTCTGATTGAGCAAACGTACAAACTCAGCCCCCTTTTGCGTAGTTCGTGACCCGTGAAATTGACCTACAGCGACACAGGCGGCCCAGAAAAGCTTGCAACTTGCAAGGTGAGTCGAATGATTAGTCTTGTCCAAACCTGCAGTGTGGTGCTTCGGACGGCCAAGTATTGGGGAGACCCTTTTCTTCCTGGCAGCATCTTGGGAGCACGAAGCTCGCATACAAAGGCAAGCTGGCGCCATGAGGCCGATGTTGGTTCTGTCACAGCCACATGGTCCTCCCTTCGATGGGTTCAGATCTCTTTGCAGGGGAAGCTTGAGAAAATGTTCGGCCGGGTAGCGCAGACGGAGCGGGGGTGGCTTCTGCAGAACCTCCCTAATTTGGCTTTTCAAACAGGTCACAGACAGAGGTCGGCATACCAAAGGCCTCTTTCTTGGCGACATCAGAGTTTTTCGAGGATTGCAGCAGGCGGTGACAACAGGTGCTTGGAACCAATCCATTTGGCCTTCAAGCCGAAGCCTCGGAATGGACCTGGGGAGTCCCTTACAGGAAACCATAGGGCATGGTTGAAAGGGGGATGGCCGCCTTCTTCTGTTCTTTTTCCTGGAAATGGACTTTCATGGTGGGTGTTCCTTTTGGGGCTTCCCTGCAAACCACAGGGGTACCCTTCAAAGAATTGTGGACACAGAATCCGAATCCTTCCTATCGTTCGGGGAATTACCGGGGCGTTCTTTTTCTTGCTGGTGCTCGGCAGGGAACGAGGGAATGAACCCTATAAACCATCCCTTGTTGTTTCCATGAAGGGAATCCCCAGGTTCATGCCCTCATCCCCTACCGAGCACCAGCAAGTTCTGAAGCACGGTTTGCCATTGGCGCAAGTCCTCGGCAGGATTCACTGTGCTGCACGCTTCTGCTCAAGGGCGGCGAGTGCCTTTCGCTGGAACCTGAGGGGAAGCGAGGTTCCCAAAATCCTGGAGCGGATGAATGGGATTTGGGCGGGGGGGACACCTGGAGACATTCATTTATGGTTCCATTTTCTGACCCCTAAAATTTCATGCATGGTTCCATTTTCCGGGGGTCCCTGGAAAACTCTGTTTATGGTTTCATTTTCAACCTCTGTGGAAGACTAGAGAGAAGTGGAATGGTCCTGGGACCCCCACTCCGCCTGCCCCGCCTCCCCCTTGAGGTAAGGATGTTCCAATCTCGTCTTGCGGAGCGTTTCAATTGGCCTGATGCTTGCATCACTCAGCGAGAAAGAGAGATCACATATTGCAACGTCCCCCCAGATGTAATGCGACCCCCCTTGCGTTTTTGCACTAGGGAGTTGTATTGCCCAAAAGCGAGTCAACTGACGGATGTCTTTTTCAGACCGAAATCATCCCAAAGATCCCCCCCAACCATTTTGGCACACAGGCCCTGGAACAGGCTTACGTTTAGAAATCACCCCTGTGGCCCGGCTTTTTTTGTTGAAGCCAGAGGTTCCGCTTCCAGTCGCTGGCGGAGCGGAACAGATTTGCGAAGTGCGTGAAGGCCGGGAAGCTGGCGACATGCAGCACGCACTTGCGTGCGCACACCGACACAGGACTGCTTGGTTGGGTTGGTTGGTCGGTCGGTCGATCGGTTCGGTTGGTTGGTTGGTTGGTTGGTTGGCTGGCTGGCTGGCTGGCTGGTTGGTTGGTTGGTTGATGGTTGGTTTGTGGTTGGTTGCTTGCTTGCTTGCTTGCTTGCTTGCTTGCTTGCTTGCTTGCTTGCTTGCTTGCTTGCTTGCTTGGTTGGTTGGTTGGTTGGTTGGTTGGTTGGTTGGTTGTTTGATGCCGTTAAGCATCGTTCAAGTATTGGCAAGTCCCTCATTCATTTCTTTGTTGGATGGTGCGTGTCTTTGTTCGTTTGTTTCTTCGTTCGCTCAGTTACTCAGCGAGTTGCTTACTCACTCATGCAGACAGTAGCTTAGTTGCCCAGTCACTGGGTCACTCAGTCACCTAGTCAGTCAGTTGTTTGTTCGTTCATGAGTTTTTCCTTTCCATCTCATCTCATCCATTCCATTCCATTCCATTCATTCTGTTCATTCCATTATTTTTGTTCATTCCATTCATGCTGTTCATTGCATTCGTTTTTAGTCCATTCAATGTTGTGTCCTTTCGTGTCGTGTCAGTTCAATTCATGTCCTTCTTGCCATTGATTTCATGGTAATTCATTCACTGACTCACTCGCTCGCCCGCCCGCCCGCCTTCCCACGCAGTCACTCACTCACTCATCCGCCCTCCCACGCACTCACTCACTCGCCCGGCCGCCCAAGCACTCACTGGCTCACCCGGCCGGACACGCACTCAGTCGCTCGCTGACTCTCCCACTCTCTCCACTCTCTCACTCCCTCTCTCTCTCTCTCTCACACTCACTCTCTCACGCTCTCGCTCTCTCACTCTCTCTTTGTCTCTCTTACTCTCTCACAGTCTCGTTCTTTCACTCTGTGAAGCTCTCACTCAGTCGCTGGCTGGCTGGCTGGCTGGCTGGCTAGCTCGCTCACTCACTCACTCACTCGTTAGTCCATTCATGAGTTGAGCATTTGATCTGTCCATCATCCGTCCGTCCGTCCATCCATCAACCCGCACAGTGTCTAGTCTACTGCCTGGTTTCATAGGGAGTATAGTAAAGCCCATATTAAGCAATGATAATTCCTTCCCCCTAATAATGAAGATCTCCCCAATAATCAAAGATAGTTTTCGAAGATTCTAGGGCCGCGAATACAAAGTTTACAATAGCCAATTTGAATCCAACACTAAACCAGTTTCCTCAGGGACCCCGACTCAAGCTGTATCGGGGGTCCCCTGCAAACCCAATTTCGTGCCCCACAGGCGCCACAAAATCCACAAAAGAGGAGGGGTTGATCCCTTTTTCGTTGAAATGTCCATTCCTCTTCTTCCTCGTTCTTTTTGTGCCATGAATCCCTTGCAGATTCCACCCAGTTGAAACACAAAAGAAGAGGAGTCTGAACCCTCAAAATCCCCATACTGCAAGCCAGGGAAGAAAAATGCCCTGTGCGCCCAAAGCCAGTCTCTGGCAAAGCTGAAACCACCTATCGGTTTTTATTACGGGGGGATGATCCCTTTCATTATCGCTGCTCAGTTTTTGTTTGTTTGTTTGTTTGTTTGTGTGATTGTTGGTTTGCTGGTTTGTTTGTTGGTTTGCTGGTTTGTTTGTTTGCTTGCTTGTTTGTTTGCTTGCTTGCTTGCTTGCTGGCTTGCTGTGCTGGTTTGTGTGTTTGTGCGTTTTCTTGGTTCGTTCTGTCAATTGTACTGTGCGCGCACATGCATACAGATAGGCATAAATGCATGCTCCCCTGGCGTTTTTCTACAGGCATCCTCGCAGCACCCCCCACATCAAGCCTTGGACGTCAGGTTTTGGCGCTTGCCCTGGAGCAGTGAGCGACGTGAGAGTTCCGATCGAGTTCAGGGTGGGAAGCGGTTGGTTCCCACTGTGATGCCATAGAGCAACTTTTAAGTTTGGGAAGTCCTTGTGGTATCACAGTTGGCAATTCCCACATCCCAGCTCGAGCTCTTTGAATCAAAACGCAAGCTCCATGGCCTGATCAACTCTTACAGCGTTATCCCCCCCCGAGCAAAAAACAACCCCAGGGTTCCGTAATGGGTTGTTGGTGATGTAGAAAACCGACACCTGCGCAAAAGGAGGGGGAAGTATTCCAGCCACAGATTAAAGCTGGCATTGGAACTCCAAAAACGTGTTCAGCTTGTCGAATTCGCGCACGAGATGACAAGGCGACGCTTGTCACCATGCATGTGGATTCACAGCGCCGGCGCGAGAGACCGTCTCACGCCGAACGGCGATTGAATCGGTGGCGGGGGTTAACGGGACCGTGTTGCCAAACGAGTACAAGACATACTGGCTAGTGAGGCGAGGCGGTGGCAACTAGAATTCTGCTACGCAGCTCCTGTTTCCCTTTTCGACGACCAACAAGAGTAGTTGCCTCCCTTCAAAACGGTGCATGGCAAAGACACTTCAGGAAAGCGCGCTTGAGCCGAAGCCAAGACCACAAAACTTGAACTTCAGTGTGGTGGCCTTCCCAACAGAATGAATGAGAATTGGCTATAACTGCTTCAAGGTTCTTGCAGACGACGCTCAGGATCTGTTCTGAGGAAAGAGAAAAGGCCCAAACCCCGACATCGGACACCTGGCCAACGCAGAAATTATGCGCTGGTATCCAGCACCTAGCTCCAAGAATACAAATCAACACAATATGTTTCGCAATAGTTGTTTCTATATAATATTCTTTAAATAATCGTTGAATTATTAATCTATATGTATAGAAAAATAAATTTGATTATAAAAAATGATTGCATATATATTAATATATATATATTTATTTGTTTATTTGAAATTGATTTTAGTATTTATTGTATGTAATATTTGTGATAAATGATAATATGTATGTTATGGTTTTGTGATATAAATTGGTATTATTTGAGATGATTGTTTGTGTTTTTTATGGTTGAAATAATAAATAAATTGGTTTAGGATTTGTGAATTTTTGAATAAATTTGTGTATTATTTGATTTGGAAAAAAAAATCGAATTGATTTATATATTTTTTTTATCTTGGGAATTGGTTTTGAAGGGTAATGTTTAAATAATTATATATATTTGTTATATGTATTTGATTTTTAATGATATTTTTTTGAATTTTAAAATGTAATTATTATTATATTGTTGGTTTTTAATCTTTTGTAATATTTTTGAAATTTAATTTATAAAATATATAAATAATTTAATATATTGATTTGGTTATATAGTAGATGTTGAGAAAAGATGGAAAGAAATTAAGGAAATTTAAAAAAATAACCCATATTTAAAGTATATTTATAATAATGTTGATAATATAAATATTAAGCATAAAGATAGTTATATAAATTAGTGAATTGAATTTATTAATATAATTTATTTAAAATTAAATATAATATTTAGATAATAAAATTAATATAATGAATTAAAAAAATACAATGATGTATTTTTTGTAATATATAGTTTATTATAATTTATAAAACTTAATTTTGATAAATAAAAAATAAAGGATAATATTATTATTCGTTCTTTAGCCTAAATAATGATTATATTAATATAATTATTATATTTAATTAATTTTTGAAGTTTTTTTTATATATTAAATTTTTAAAAAAAATTATAAATTCTAGAAATTATTTTTAAATTATTAATTATGAATTTTAGGAATATATAAGTTAGATTAACCAATTAAAGAAATTCATGAAAAAATGAGCAAACTATGAAATTATTCCTTAATTATAACCATAAATTCGGCTAAAGGTTTTTCGAACGGAATCTATAAAAATACATATTTCAAAAATCGTTCGATTTCCTTATTCGTAATCGATTACAAAAAAGAGTAAAATAATGTTTTAGTATTTAGTAATTAAAAAGATTAAATATAAGATTTATTTCCTAATTTTTATAAGCGAAGCATAATTTTCGGTTCCTTTTGAATCTCCTAATCAGAAATTTCTTCAACCATTTCGGCGATTAACAATATCAAAGATTTCATTATATTCTATAATATTAGAATCTCATCAAAGGTCAAATTCTATACAAAACCATATTCGTCAATAAAAGTATTAAAAATCCCGCCCAAAAGGCCATAGTAAGGACAAGAATCTCTTTAAAGATTCCATATAAAATTTAAATCAAAATATTTATAAAATAGTTCCTCGATTCTTTAGCCACAGATAAATGTCCGTCTCGTCGGCCGATTTCATTCCCTTCATGCTCCCCGGAGTCAAATAAGTATCTTTTTATTCATTAAGCTTTAAGCTTTCGACACTCATTCTTCCTTTCTTCATTTATTGGATTCCTATTCTTATTATGAATCTTAATTGGCTCTTCATTCTTAAACCCAGGTATATAAATAATTTGTTATTCCAATAAGAGTTCGAAAAATTAATATATAAAAAATTAGCCATATCGTTATTGCCCATATAAATGTTAATTTCTCAAAAAAAAAATCTAACGACTAAAAAAATAAACAAAATACCTATTTAAAAACGAAAAATAAAATTATATCTAATTAAATATATTTCTTTATTTTTCAATAAATATCAAATATTAAATTATAATATTAAAATATTCCCTCAAAATGTATAATTTTATATATTAAATATGGTTTTTATTATTTATTTATTTACAATTTTACATCAATATATGTTTATTCCTATAAATTAATTAACCTTAAACTAAAAACATTTACCAAACACATACCATATAATATATCCTATATATCATTATAATCTTTTAATACATTAATATCATAAATCAATATAAAAAATTTCAATTATTCCATATATATAAACACGAATATATATATATAACTAAAAAACAAAAACATAATGTTTAAAAAAAAAATCCTTATAATATTAATCTATTCATCAAATAGAATTATAAAATATGTTTATATAAAATTATATTATTTTGTTCAGTAAAAAAAATATTAAATCAAAATTTAATTTAGGTTTTTAAAATTTAATTATTATTTATATTAATTTAAAAACCATTATAATATATTTTTCAAAAAATATATCCTAAAATAAATCTAAAAAATGATTAAAATAATTATCATTATAATATAATGTTTAAAATTATAAAATTATAAAAAAAATCGTAAAATAAAAAATATATTTAAAAAAAAATAATTCCGAAATTTATGTTAATATGAGTTCATAATCACCCGGCCTTTCGGCCCAATTTAATTTCGTATATAATAAAACAAAAAATCAATATCTTCAAAACAAAATATATAATCAAAAAACAATAATCCAATCCATAATCAAAATATTAATAATATAATTAAAACAACAAAATTAATAAAACAAAACCACCTAAAAAACAACACAAAAATTAACAAAAAAATATCATTTTTATTTTATAATAATTAACCACCAAACAACATAAAACCACCTTTCATAACAAAACTAAAATTACAAAAAATATAAAAAATCAAAACAACAAAAACCACATACACCCTCAAAAACAAACAAAAAAATATAAATAATAAAAAACAAAATATAAAATCACAAAAACCAAATACACTAACATAAACCCCAAATATAAACAACATCATAATAATATTAATAATAATACCCCAACCATTCAATATAACATGCTAAATAAACACACAAATAATATCCCAATCAATTTAATAACACAATAATAACATTAATAATATCACATTAATATATTAACCACAAAAAAAATTATGTTCTAACAAGTTGGACAATATCATAATAATACGAACAACATTGTAATAATATAAATACAAATTATAATTTTACAATCATAAATCATTTTACAATAGCAAAATAATATTCAACACCTTAATATTAATAATATTCAACACCTTAATATTCATAATATCATACCACCACCATACACACGAACTAATAATACTATGGACAACATCATAATAATCCCACAATCACGATACTTCAAATAGCACCCACCCTAACACCCTACCATCCATATACACCCGTACCATCACCAACACCTCAAAACAGCAGCCCCAGCCACACCGCGCCAGAGCCGGACATATCCCCGAACGCCCTATCGTCACGTATTGCCACCGGCACCTCAACCAAAATGCACCCCAAAACCATACCTACACCAATATCCCAATATGTATCCCCCCAAATTCCCAACCGTCGATCCTACAACCTCTAGCAAGCTGGCAAAACAACACCTCCACCACACCCAACCATCAAACTCGCACAACACCTCCACCAGCGTCCCAAATTACATACCCTATAACATGCAACCCTCAATCTCGCAAATCATGTTCCTTTCTTTATTTGAAGTTAGAACCCCTATAGCTTTCAACTATCTAGGGAAAAATAAGCTCAGGTGATATCCCCAACAGCATGCGGTGCTTTTTTTAATGCTCGCACCACCCCGCCGCCCTCGCAGAACCTCGTGGAACCATCGTGGAACCCGGGTGGAACCCTAGTGGAACCCTAGTGGAACCAGTGGAACCCTCGTGGAACCTTATCTCAGGGCCCAGAAAGAAACCTATCCAGTTCCACCTGCAACCCTGCCAGCAACTGTGCCGTAAAAAGAAGGTCGGTTCGAAGCGAGGATTGCCCGGGTTGCTGCAGCTCTCACCATGGTTCGGGACGCAACCCCAGTTGCCAACCATCTCAATGATGATGAAATCACCTAGCTTCCTCCCGTGGATCGAATACGCGAGCCAGCGCATGTCTGCTGCCAGACAGGCGGCGCTCTCTGGCAAGAGTCCTTCGTTCATGATTGGTGGGACACCAGGCAGCATGCAGTAAGTAGGGAGGGTCGCCCAAAAGCAAGAAACAAAGCGGAAAACACAACCGGACTTGCCCAAAGGTTGAAAACTTAATCTTGCTCTCTTCCTCAAACAGATTCAAACAGGCCCGGCACTGGTTGCCCTGTAA